TCTGAGAATGGAACCCAGTCCTCACACATGTAAAGCAAATTCTCTACCACTGAGCTACAGACCTGCTCCCCTGAAAACTGTACTCTCAAAAATATTTTATTATGCTATTTTCCACAAATACTTTATTTTCTGATGCCTTTCTCCATGAGATGCCTTTCTCCAATGAGACATCTTATTATCTCATTCCTACTTTGGACAAACTTGCAGGCTATCGAATGTAGCCTGCCCACAGGGCAGAGTCTGGCAAACTCCCCGTGGCCTACCAAATATGCCAAATACCAGTAACAATGATGGGTCTCATTCTCCTAAAGAGCCGTGAATATAATCTCAGGGCTAGGATGAAAGAGACGTTACTGGGGCCTGCTCGAGGCAATCGACGATTAACAGGATGATGAAATGAAAATGAAAAGGCACTTTCCTCGATCCGGAACACTGTTTCTTGAACTCTCACCCTCTCAGCCAGCTCTTCCCACACCGCAGGGTCAGTCACGCTGTTCTGAATGGCTCTCTCCACAACTTCCTCCTCCCTGTCTCGCAAGAGCCATCCAGGAACTGTCTTTCCATGGAGAGCCTTTCTGAGTTCACCCCCCACATCTTCCTCAGTGTACCTCTAACACAAAATGTACCCTCCAGTTTGAACCCTATTTGTCTCACAGTATGATCCTTCCAGCTTACCAACTAACTTTACAGAGATCCTGTCTCACTCTCCTTGGACTGCTCTCTGGTACCCTCTGTTTACAGAGTGGTGTAGAGACAATTATAAATATTTGTGGGGTTAATTTTCCTCACTACCATCTTCTATTGTTTTCTTTTTACTTCTGACTCACCACCCATCTGGCAAAGGCTCCTAAGATATTTACTTTAAATTTCTGGCTACTTTAGCACTCTCTGGTACTAAAAGTGTAGAGATACTTCAGGGAAGCAAGTCATTACTCCACCTTCATGTTCATTTAATGTGATTTTGTAAGATGAAGGAATACACTGAAACATTCCAAAGCTGTAAGTTGGACTTTTTTTTAAAAAACATTTATTTTTTATTTATTTATTTTTGCTTTTTTGGGTCACACCCGGCGATGCACAGGGGTTCCTCCTGGCTCTGCACTCAGGAGTTACTCCTGGCGGTGCTCAGGGGACCATATGGGATGCTGGGAATCGAACCCGGGTTGGCCACGTGCAAAGCAAACGCCTTACCCGCTGTGCTATTCTCCAGCCCCAAGTTGGACTTTTATACAGTAGATCCTTCCAAAATGAGACATACTTGCTATTGCAAATTTATTTAGCCAGTAAGACTGCAAATAAGAATAAAAGAACAAAATCCCAAGGCATGAGCCTGGAAGCACAAAGCTGAGGCCGCATCTGACCCAGGTTCAATTCCTGGAATCACATGGTACCCAGGTGAGGTCCTGGAGGTCCCTCAAACACCTCAAACACTTCCAGATGGCCCTGGTGGTCTCTGATACTGGGAAGGTCCCCATCCTTGGGCCCTCAAACTATACCACAGGACCCTGAGCTCCAAGAGGGAGCCCCCTCTTCCCCAATCAACACATACCAACACAGATTTGTAACATCACACTACTAGAAAGCTGTGTCTCTTCTGATCACAGATGGCGAAACTGGTGCCGTGGAAAAGGGAAATGAAAACAGAATGCCTTCCCTCTTCTGGAGCCTTCTCTCAGTGCCAGTCACAGCCGGGCTACAGACACACTGACAATTACTAGGTCTGCTTCTGTCAGCGATTTACCCTGAGGAAAAAGGAGGATGAATTTCAGGATGATACCGAGTCTGCTATTATTCTCTCTGTTAATTCAACCCTGTTTGAGGGAGTTTAATAATTTTTACTGTAAAAATAACCCAATTATGACTCATCTGTCCAAGAAATACACCAAGAAGAGATAAAGAGAACACAGCAAAAAATTAATTTTCTATTATAATTACCCAGTTTACATTTTCTTTAGAAAAAAATATCTCAAACAGTAAACAGGGACCAAGTCATGTCTGTAGGCCACTTTTGAACTGTATATCAAATTTTAAATTCACAAAAATATAAGTTTCATGAGATCATGGGATTTTTTCACTGCTGAATTCCCAGAGTATTGCCTTAATTATTAACTAAAATGCAGGTGTAACAGGCTGCAATTTGCAGAACTAGCCCAGTGTGGGCTCAGCAAAGGCAAGAGAGTAGGTGAATTAAAAATTCTAGGGGACACAACGGGGTCTTAAACTAGGGGGTCATGGTAGAGGAGGAGAAGTGGTCACATTCATTTGACACATTGGAAAAAAAGGAACAGAACTTGCTAGCAAGTAGGGAAAAGAGGAATAACAACAAAACAGTGACTGAGCAATGTTTAATTCAAAGTTACGTGACTGGATAAAAAGTTTTTCATCATGACTCAATCTCCCTTTCTAAAAAATTTTGGTCGAATACATTGCCCAAACACCAGGGTGACAGATCAGGTGGTAGGACACATGTCTCAGTGTGTGAGGTCGGCACTTCCTGGCCCACCAAGCAGCATCTGGTGGAGCCTCATGGATTTAAGCCCTTCTGAGCTGAGCACAGCCCACACTGCGGCCAAGGCCCAGCAGGCAGAGCCACACGCAGGCCCAGTCCCCGAGAGCAGCCCGCAGGTAGCCCCAGCACCAGCGGGGGTGGCCCCCCATGTGAAAAACAAAACAAAACAAAACAAAAGCTGCTCAGGACTGCCTGAGTGGCTTGAAGTTTAATGGCGACTTCATTTCTTCCTCAGGTCTATTGCCCCGGTTCAAAGCCCTGGGTCCTGACAAAGAATTCTGGCTTGAAACCATGCTGGAAAAGGAAAAGCTGGTTGATGACCACATGTGGCTCCATGCTGCTCTTCTTTCTTTTTGTGGAAGTTTACAGCGTTTCACAACATAAAGTTAGAAATAATAAAATTTTTAAAGAGGAAAGAAAATCCTACCAGGGGATGGGAGTGATAATACACTGGGGACATGCTCGTCCTGCTGTGCACAGCTGACCAGGGTTCGATCCCCTCTGCCCCGCCATGAGAGATCCCTGAGTGCGGAGTCAGCAGTGAGTCATGAACATGGCAGAGTGGGCCGAAAGTCAAAAGAAGCCAAAACTCTGACAGGTGTAGGTCTGATTTGTGGCTCTGTGGATATCTTGGCCCATAAAGCCTCTGACTCCCCAGGGGAGAGGAACAGAGCAGGGCTGGGGGGAGGGGGAAAGCCAGCTGTTAGTCACGAGACTTAGATGCTCAGTTCTTCCAGAATTAACTGTCTAGAAATAAGCACAAGTTTCAATTTCCTCTTCTGATTCCAGCAAAACACTTCAATGGCAGAACCTCAGAAAGGACCTTAGGCCCCTGGCGCCATTTTGCACAGAGCAGTGAAGAAACCTGGCTGGTGGGCACCACAACACCTGGAGAATTTTCCAGGCCCCATACCTAGCCGATATCACAGGGAGGTCCCAGATGGGGTAGGTGCAATGTTCCCGCCTTCTCCAGATGGAATCCTGGTAACCATGGGCTTCTACACGCATGGCTCCAGTATGTGGGTGCCAGGACTATTCTTCCTTATGCAGAAGAATTCTTTAGGCTTATGCGGCCGCTCAACTTTTCCTGATATGCAAAGTGAGCGATGGACAGTGAATGATCCAGTGTCTGTCCCTGGAAGGCAGGCTTGAAGGGTGGTGGGAAAATTTGAGCAAGATATAATGCCCAACCAAAATGCATCTGGACTGTGCATTAAACTACGGCGCTATGCCGCCCCAGGAGGGGAAGGATGTTTGACCCTCTGCCTTTCCCCACTGGCAGTGGTGGCATGGTGGCCGCCATCTTTTAGCGCCTAATGGACAGTCAGGTATGAGACTGCAGTGACAAGCCACGCGGGGCCTCATGGGATGGGAGAGGGGGGGAACTGGCCCTGCTCCCTGCCCTGACAAAGCCCCGAGCTGCCGCCCACGAACGCTTCCTCCAGCTCCTGAACGGCCATGATCTCAGAGGCACACAAACCAATCTCAGAATCCAGCGACTTTTGGCAGTAATCCCTCTAGAGTTATGACTAAAGTATCAGAAATCCTCTTTTATTTCCTGAAGTAGTACCACATGGTGTTTCACTGATAAAAATTAAAAAAAATATTTAAAAAAAAATCAGAAATCCAAAATCACGTGGCTTCAATAGAGGCCGGGCAACATCATATGCTCTTCATAATCAGCAACAGAAAACAAATTATCTAATGATATCTTTTTATGATATCTCATTATCTCATTCCTACTCTGGACAAACTGGCAGGCTATCGAATATAGCCTGCCCACAGGGCAGAGTCTGGCAAACTCCCCGTGGCGCACCAAATATGCCAAATACCAGTAACAATGATGGGTCTCATTCTCCTAAAAAGCCTTGAATATAATCTCAGGGCTAGGATGAAAGAGACGTTACTGGGGCCTGCTCGAGGCAATTGACGATTAACAGGATGATGAATGAATGAATGAAATCTTTCTGGCAGGTCTGAATGTTGGGGAAAATTCCAAATAATGGTGGGTCTTTTGTTGTAATATTGAATGTGATCAATGTAAAGAGAGAGTAAAGTAGAAATCTGCCACACAGGCAGGGGAAAGGGTGGGAGGGGGAGTATATTGGGGTTCTCTTGGTGGTAGAAAACGTGCACTGGTGAAGGAATGGGTGTTTGATCATTGTATGACCGACCGAGACTTAAACTGAAAGGCTTTGTGACTGTTCTCATGGTGATTCAACAAATAAAATTTTTTTAAAAAATTAAACACACACACACACACACACACACACACACACACACACACACAAAAGAAAGGGCCTTAAATCTCTTTCCAAGACCCAAATTCCTCCATCACTTAATCCAGCACCACTGCAGTTGGAATGAAAGCGTTAAGCGTTCCAGCCACTTAATCCCTGAAGAGGAAGCAAGCACTGAGTACTGGTTGAAGGAATAATGAGTTAGGATGAGTTGTTTGTGTCACTGTCTCTCCAAAAACATTACGAGCACATCAAGAACAGGGAATGTTTTATTCATCTCCTTTTGTCTCCAGAACAGAGTATAATATCTGGCACAAAAATAAATGCTTACTAGTCACTTATTAAATTATAGGCAACAGGTAAATACTTGATTTACTTTAAAATGCCAAGAAAGGAAAAGAAAACATTTCTTCATCAAAGATTAAGGAATAAACTTAGGATCTGGGGTAGAAACACCAACATTTCTCCACGGAAGCTGCAGAAGACTGAGAGGTCAGCTTGTGTTGGTGTGAACCAACACAACACGTGAACCACGGAAGCTGGTCCAGGATGGAAGACAGCCCCACGCGACACACAGCAGCACATCCATGCCACGACAGCACAGTCGGGAGCGGTGGCCTCAGCATGCCCAGCTTAAGGGAAGAGCCTGCCTAGGCACCCGGGAAGGCCCTGTGGGGGAGGGGAAACAGTAGGAATATTCTGGGGAATATTCACACACTGGGAAGCAGAATGATCTCAAGCACTGCAGAGCCTTCGACAGAGGCACAATGGTTCCCTCTCAAAATACTCCCACAACCAGCACCAGGGGCAAGGAGGGCGGGTGCGATGGGCTCTGCTGGCTGCGGTCACATCTTGGGGAAGCTGGCCAGGCTGGCAATGCCACAGGTGTTGTTCTTATTCCGAGCCATGAGGATGTAGCCTTTGTTGCCCCAGTTTTCTCCCCAGCTGTAGGATCAATCGAGAAAAGGATTTAGTCCTCTCATTTATTCATTAATGGGTATTCGGAAATAAGACAGAGTTCCCCTCCAAAGAGCTTAAAGAGAAGAAAACAACAACAACATACGCACACACTGGAGAGAAAAGTCTCAGAGAGAGGAGAAATTGCTCGTCACTGAGTAGATCTCAAGAGGCTGACGGACCTGGGTGAGAGATTAAAGGAGCTCTCCGGAGTGCAGCCTGCAGGTATGAGTCCTGGAGTTTGATCCCCACACCACATAGCACCCCCAGCACTGCCAGCTGTTGTCTGGGTGATTCCTGAGTGTTACTGGGGTGGCTGGGAAAGTGGGGGGCGGGCTTAGCAATGTGAGACTCAATCACTGAACCATCAAGCCTGTTTGGCTGAACACCCTCGGAGTGGCCCCTGTCCTAAGCCTTGATAGAATCCCGGGCTGAGAAAGCGGGCTGCCCCCAGCAGGGAGGCGTGACACGAAGAATCAAGACAGAAAAGTGTGGGGGGCATGTATGAGCATCACACAACGGATAGGGTGATGGGAGCTACATGTGAGCAAGAGCAAGTCGGAGCAAACTGGACGGTCTTCGGAGCCAGGCTGCAGATTCAGACTGTTGCGCCCGCACAGTGGGAGAGCCCCTGGCTTCTGAGTAGGAGACAGGTGTCATTCGATTTGTTCTAGGAAGGGTAAATCTTGAGAAGAGGGCTGGAGAGTGAGTTCAATGGGCTGGAGCGCGTGTGGGGAAGGCCAAGGATTTAGTACCCCGCATTCACACGGGCCCCCAAGCATCACAGGAGCGACCTTGGAGCAGAACTGAGAGGAAGCCCTGAGCACTGCTGTGCAGCCCCACACAAACTGTGACAACTACAAAGGGCACAGGAGGCAAGTGAGACTAAGGCCGGTGGTACGGACGGGGGGTGGGGGGCACCTCATGGCAGATGTGGACGAGGCTATGGGGGACGAGGATCCGCTCAGGAAGCAAGTGGAAAGAAGACGAGAAGGGCTGGGAAAGACAGGGCAGAGGCTGCCTACGGATCTTCCTAAAGCGTTCTGTGAGTTCCCTGGTCTTTTCTTTCAACCAGCAAATTCTACAACTAGCCAAGACATTGTGTTTAATTAAGATCTATTCTTGCCCCCTACTTGTCCCTTCCCAGAGGTCCTCGATGCTGCTGCCTCTGCCAGTGCTCCTCTGTCCCGCTCCCTTGCACACTGTCTCTGCCTCTGGCACCTCATCAAGAAAGGATGGGGACCAGAGGAAAGTACGGTGGGAAGGGCGCTTGCCTTGCATGCGCTGACCTGGGTTCAATCCCTGGCATCCCGGGGCTGGAGAGATAGCACAGCGGGTAGGGCGTTTGCCTTGCATGTGGCCGACCCGGGTTCGATTTCCAGCATCCCATATGGTCCCCTGAGCTCCGCCAGGAGTAACTCCTGAGTGCAGAGCCAGGAGGAACCCCTGTGCATCGCCGGGTGTGACCCAAAAAGCAAAAAAAAAAAAAAAATCCCTGGCATCCCATATGGTACCCCGATACTGCCAAGAGTGACCCCCGAATACAGAGCCAGGAGTAACCTGTGAGCATCACGGGGTGTGGCCCCAAAACAAACAAACAAAAAAAGGACTGGCGAGACTCTGGGGCCAGGAGTTGAGAAAGGGAGAAAAGAAGACAGAAGATGGGGGGAAGGAGCACTCTGGAAAGTGCCTGGGCTCGGCCGCAGCTGGACAGTGGGGTACTGTCCCTGTTGGCTTGGTGACTCAGTGGCAATTTAGCCACGTCATCACACTGACTTGTGATTTCCCCAGGACCTAGGGCTCCAGTTCCTCAGAGGCCACTGAGAAAAGGAAGCTTAATTACAGCTGCTGAAAGACTGGTGTTTCCAATAAATGCAATTCTCGTGACTCTTTCCCCATAAAGTCACAAGACTACAGAGGGTCCAAGTCACAGAGCTAAAGAGAAGTCACGGGGTCAGGGCTGGCAAGACAAGACAGCAGGCAGGGCTGTCGCTTGCACAGCTCGGACCCAGGTTCAATCCTCAGCACCCCACACACAGCCCTGCTAGGAGTGGTTCCTGAATGCAGAGGGAAGCCCTGCGCACTGCCAGATGTGCTCCCCCATCCCACGCCCCAAAAAGGGAGGGATATCAAAGTATCTCAAAATTACTTGTTTTCAGTGGTCCAAAAGAAACACTTTTTGCTCGTATCTACTTTCCCTTTCTCTTTCTCTTATCTTTCGGGCCACATTTGCTGTTGTTTAGGGGGCTGGTCCCAGAAGAGCTTGGGGGGCTAGTGGTACTAGGGACAGAAACTATGCCCCTAGCATACAAACAAGCGCAGTAGTGGGGCCAGAGCGATAGCACAGCAGGTAGGGCGTTTGCCTTGCACGCGGCCAACCCGGATTCAATCCCCGGCATCCCATATGGTCCCCCAAGCACCGCCAGGAGTAATTCCTGAGTGCAGAGCCCTGAGCATCTCTGGGTGTGATCCAAAAAGCTAAAAAAAAAAACAAGTGCAGTAGCTCTTTGAGTTAGCTCTTGGAATCCACATCCACTTTCTCAAGTGTTTCCTCTAGTAGATTTCAGTCTTTGGCACATTCATAGATATATAGTGTCGGAGGGCAAAAAGCTGTTATCAGGTGAGTCTGATCTCTGAATGTGCTCCACTGCTTCCAGACACTATTAGAGAAAGAAGGGCCATAACTCAAAGGTGCTGCTGGCCCGGATTGGTTAAGTCTGTCTGTCTTAGCGGTTGGAGATCCCTAAGGACAGATTCTTGTACACTGTGCATTCGACTAGCCTGTGGAAGTCCAAGAATGGAGCTCAGAGTCTTGAGTACAGGCCATTACATGTCAGCCAGAGGCTGTAGCCTCTGGCCAGGAAGGCAGAACTGAAAGGCCTGTGACTACTCTATCTTGAGGGGGGATGGGAAGAAAGAGAGAGAGAGAGAGAGAGAGAGACAGAGACAGAGACAGAGAGACAGAGGGAGAGAGAGAAAGGAGAAGAGAGTAAGAAAGAGAAAGACAGAAAGAGAGAGAAAGGAATATTAAGAAGTCAGAGATGACTTTGAGAGGGTGATTAAGGAAAAGTCATTGGGCTGGATCCATAGTACAGAGATAGACATTTCCCTTGCATTTCCCAAGGCTGACCTGGGTTCGATTCCCAGCATTTCATATGGTCCCCCAAGAACCATCAGGAGTAATTCCTGAGCATCTCTGGGTGTGACAACCCCTCATATACTGCCCCCCCACCCCGACCAAAGGGCAAGAGTCACGTCCCCACTGGTACCTGTTCTTAATTATCCAGTGCTTGATCCCCTTCTGGATTCCGTACCCGACCGCCAGCACCGCATGATTCAGGTTGTCACTATTGCAGTTTTCATCGTAGTACACGCCTACAAGAGAAAGCCCCACAGGAAAGCTTTTTGCAACCTCAGGGTTGCCCTATGGGTTCCCTATAGGAGACCCCTGCAGGATAGCCCTGTAGGTCCCCCAGTCTAGGAGACCCCTGTGGAATCCTGTTCCTGCTAGGACGGTTTGCGAGAGAGATCCGTGTCTAAGCTGCAGGAGCTGTTAGCGTCTCGGGCTGACTCAAGAACAGAAGCTAAGCACTGCGCGTGCTCGGGGCCCTCGGCAGTACCAGATGGAAACAGCCCCTCACCTTTGCTGTAGAACTGGAATGAGGTCAGGCTCGCATCAATGGCCACCGAAATGGGTCCGACTCGGGCCACTGCCCTCTTCAGGGCTTTCTCATTCCCTTCAGGGATCTCTCGGTACCCTCTGCATTTAGCCGCCTTGCCTGTTGGGTTGTACATACAACTTTCGTCCTGGAAGAGACAAGGTGGAAATGGGACTCGGAGGGCCAGACCATGAGTCAGGGAGGAAGGTGCTCCCGACAGCAGGTGCTCCCGAAACCCTCAGGGGTTTCTCTCTTACAACAGCACGAGTTCACACTCGGACTTAGAACCAGCGGTTTCTGAGAACTATACAGAGAAAGGATTTTTCTAGGTATGAGTTTTGATTTCTTTGCTTTGCATACCTATACCAAAAAAAAAAAATCCATAACACAGGGTAACAGTAAGATGCAACGAACAGAATCCAGCACTGTTTGGGTGTGGACAGGATATGTTGAGGCAAGTTGACAGCGGGCTGCTGAGTGACCCAGTGACCCAGGCTTGTGGAAATCTGTTTGCAGCAGGCAACATTTCTGATGACCGATAACTAAGCACAAATGAATAGAACTGTATGCTATTGCATTTTTCAAAACTGCAAAGAAAAAAATGTCTTTTCCTACCTTAGGAACATTTCTGAATTGAAAGACATCACCAAAGGAGTAAAAAGATAGATATCAATCTATAATAGATATAGTATTAACATTCAAATGTCTTTTTTTAAAGAGAGCTGATTAAACTTCTCAAACAATTCACAACCCCAAAGCATTCATCTAGTAAGCAGAGAGGCATTGCCCCAAATTCTTGAAAATCAGCTCATTTAAAACTAGGGAAAAAGACATGAACAATTGGCTGAAGAAGAAGTACAGAGGGCCAGGTAAACACACCAACAAAGACACGAAAGAGTGGGGTTTATTACACACTGCAGGGAAGAGATTTTCCAAACTCTTTTCTTTTTTTGGGGGGGCGGGGTGGGGAGTGAAGTCATGACCTCACACATACAATGCATTTGCTCTACCACTAAATTACCATCCCCAGACTTTTCTGCAAATTCTAGCCAGGTTGAACATACATGTACAATTCTGCTTTAAGATATATTCTCCAAAGAATTGGAGAACATATGGATCAGAGGCATGTCTGGGAATCTTTGTAGAAGATAGATACAGAGATCTGATAGATAAATCTTGACTCTACTACATAATGGGGGGTGGTCTGTCTTATTTCTTTAAATATCAATTTCCTTACCTATAGAGTCAGGACCAATTTAACTGCAGGATGAGGATTAAGTGAGAAAGTACACTTAGCACAGAGTAGCCCTTATTGTTACTCCTCATACTTGCTCTTCCTGCTCCTAAAGGCCTCATACTCTATCACCTATCAACCTCAAAGAATCCCCGATTACCAAAGAATCTCAGAGGGGCAAGGAAATTCACTGATCTCCAGAATTACAACTTAATAGAAAGCAGCTTGTTTTTTCTCTCATTTTATACATGGTAGCATAATGACTTAAGAGAATTTCCCAAATATTCTCAAAAGATTCACCCCAAGATAATACAAAATAAAAGCAGGTGATTCATGAGAGTTATCAGGGTGAATCTAGGGCTCTGTAACAGGAGTGGGGTTGTGTGGAAGGTTCTAGACACCAGGTCAGAGACCCATCACAGGGATCCTATCCTCAGCTACTTCTCTCGCACAAAGAAAAGTAACAGCTCAGAGGCTTAAAATCTTCAGATTCTTCCAGACTGTGGGACTCTCCGTGGCCTTCGGTGGTAAATGAAATCAAAAGCATCTTAGGGCACCAGAAGCAAGATTTCTGGAACGGTGTCTCTCCTGGAAGGGGGCAGGAGGCGTGGGGCAGGGGGGTGGGGGTGGAAGCTCACCTGTCCCACGTAGGGGTAGGCATCCTCAGAGTCAATGCCCCGGTTCTCCTGGACGTACTGGAAAGCGTTGGTCATGTAGCCCCCACCGCAGCCATCGTTCTCAGAGACACAATCCACCAGGTTCTGGGGGCTCAGGTTTAAGAGTTTGCCTGTTTTCTTCTTGAGTTGGCCCTCAAGGGCACCCACAGAGCTAAAAGCCCAACAGGATCCACACTGACCCTGCGAGACATAACAGAGAAATCGTCTGTTACTGCCAATCTCGTCTGAGGGTCTGTCTTACCTCTCCCCTCTAGCTGGATTCCAAGTGCTTATGACATGCCAGCATGTGTCTCACTTTTCCATTTCTTGCATCTGCTAGTCATGGTACTGTCCTGTGGCTATTGTACTATTAACAACCCTTGTTAATATAATCCGTTAGCTGCAGTAAAACAGAGAACAGTATGTCCTCACTTAAATCCTCATTAGGTTCCTGACAAGTGCATTTTTATTTTTTTTTCATTCATCATCCTGTTATTCGTCGATTGCCTCGAGCAGGCCCCAGTAACGTCTCCTTCGTTCTAGCCCTGAGATTATATTCAAGGTTCTTTAGGAGAATGAGACCCATCATTGTTACTGGTATTTGGCATATTGGGTACGCCACGGGGAGTTTGCCAGACTCTGCCGTGTGGGCAGGCTACATTCGATAGCCTGCAAGTCTGTCCAAAGTAGGAATGAGATAATAAGACGTCATAAAAAGATGTCCTGATAAGATGTCGTGCGGCCGCAAATGCGGCCGCATGGTTCCAGGAGCTGGATTTTATAGTCTCTGAGTCTTGGCCGTTGATGGGATTACACGGCGCCAGGGGGCCAGGTGGTGGGTGTGACCCCCGCCTACTGGAATTTGGAGAATCTGGGTGGAGGATGCTCGACTCCAATCCAAGTAGGCTTGGAGATCTCGGCCCCCTTTTATTTTATCTAAATTTTTTTTCCCCGAGGGTCCCACACCCAGCAGTGCTCAGGGGTTACTCCTGGCTCTGCACTCAAGAATTACTCCAGGAGGGGCTCAGGGATCATATGGAATGCTGGGGGTCAGACCCAGGTCAGCTGTGTGCAAGACAAGTGCCCTCCCCACCGTACTAACTCCAGCCCCGAAAAGTGGAATTTTAAGGAGTTACATCAGGAAAGCAGGTCCTTGGATAAAGCTGTTTCCTTCATAGTCAGAGAACACGTCCTTCTTTTCTCTTCAACTTTGTAACAAACTGGCTGATATTAAAATAAATGACATTACTGCAGGACCTGCTCTATTGGCTTTGCAACCCACTGGCAGGCGTGAGCATCAGGCCTTTCCGTGCCTGTTTGCTGATGCAGAGTGTAGGTAAGAACATCTGTGGGGTAATGGAGGTTTTCAAAGTTCATTCAAATAGAGCAAAAAGAAGTAGCTTTTTGGGTTGGTTTGTGTTTTGGATCATGCGTGGTAGCTCACGGCTTACTCCCAGCTCCTGGAGGTGCTCAGGGTCAACCCTGGATCAGCTGCATTCAAGTCTAGTGCCCTGCCTACTGTACTATCTCTCTGTCCCCCAAAGCTGAGGGTTTTATTTTTATTTAGTTACTTCTTTTCTTTTTTTTCCTTTGGAGAAGGTCACACCAGTGGTGCTTAGGTATCACTCTTGGTGGCGTCGAGTCGAGGGTTTTTTTTTTTTGGTTTTGGTTTTTAGGCCCCACCCAGTAATGTTCAGGGGTTACTCCTGGCTCTGCAATCAGGAATTACTCCTGGCAGTGCTCAGGGGATCACATGGAATGCCAGGGTCGAACCTGGTTGAGCCTCATGCAAGGCAAACACTGGCTCCAGAGCAGAGGTTTTAGACTTTTTTGATATTTCAGTTTTTTGGTTTGTTTTTGAGTCACACCAACCTGTGCTCACGGCTTTCTCCTGGCACTCAGGAATCACTTCTGGTGGGGTGACAGGTATGGAACCAGGGTCAGTCACCTGTGAGGCAAGTGCCCTACCCACTGTGCCATCTCTCCGGCCCCTTTTAACCTTTTTGTAACCCTTAGCCCAGTATTGCAGATCAGCAGTCCAAAAACACTGAGAAAATGTAAAATGCTGGCACATCATAATCCCTGAAATCCCGAGCTATTATTATTGTTTATTCCCTACGAATGCAGGTATTTCTTCCCTGGCCTATTTCTCCCCCTCCACTACCCCTCCTTCCCCTATCCTGCCTCCAGCTATACACAGCTGGGTGCAGTGCTGGCCAGCGGGGCCTGCCTGACTGCTGCGTCCACCCTTACTCTCCCTGCTTCCCTAGGACTTGTCATCCTAGTTGCAGTGCTCACACACACTTGACTGTGGGGTGCAGAGACACCCAAGAGCAGAAGCTCTGGGATGGGATGTGAGCATCTGGGACAGAGGTGAGATCAAGTTCCTGCCTCACTGGTCTCACCTTTGCAAGGCAGCATTCTTCCCAGAACTAGCCCGGGGCTCTTGCTCTATGTATGTTCTAGGATCGAGGATTTCTTGCAGATACAGGTTTTGTCTTGACAAAGTGAATCTCTAGTACCTAGTGCTTAGTACTGTATTTGTCAGGTTCTAGGCGGGGGGTAAAGGTGTTACAATGAATGGATGTCCATTATATGTCTTTTTAAAATTTTTTTGTGGAGTGGGGGGGTTAGGGCCACACCCAGCAATGCTCAGTCAGGGCTTATTCCTGGCTCTGCATCCAGGAATTACTACTGGTGGTGCTCAGAGGACAATATGGGATGCTGGGTATCAAACCCAGGTTGGCCATGTGCAAGGCAAGATCCTACCCATTGTACTATCATTCCAGCTCTTGACTGTTCATTGTTGATGCAATCAGTATTGTTAAGTTGTTTGAAAACTTGGAATTCTCATGATGGCAAGAAGGTAGATTTGGGCTGAAAAGACGGTACGAAAGTTAAGATATAATCTGGGTTTGTTCACATATGGTCCCTCAACACTGCCAGGAATGATTCCTGAGCAAGGAGCTAGGATAAACAAGCTCTGTCAGGTGTGGTCTAAATACTTTCATCCATAAAAACTTTTTAGAAACAGAACGTAAGATGATAAAATCCTTTTTAGAAAGGCGATTTTACATAAATATTTGGATATGGTAGTGACATGCTAAGAGAATGTAACAAGAACGTTAACAACACTGGTTATCACAGATCATCCTGTTATTAGTCGACTGCCTCGAGCAGGCCCCAGTAACGTCTCCTTCATCCTAGCCCTGAGATTATATTGTCTTATAGGAAAACAAAAACGAGAATGTACCAAAACAGGTCATGAGTTAATATTCTTACAAGTGGCTACCTTAACTCCTTGGGCCTCTTCCTGTTGCCTTTAGCCTGAAGAACAAGGAAGCAGAAGCAGAAGCAGGAAGAGGCTGTGCAGCTCCCAGATCCCAGTGAGTACCTGGTTCTTGACGGGAGTGACATAGCCCTTCTTCCGGTAGTCAACGGAGTCAGGGGTTCTGCCTTCCCAGTCGGGGACATAGAGGGTGTCATTACTGCGGGAACGCGAGTAAGGGACTCTGAGTCCAGTCATCTTCTGAACCACCTCTTCACTGGTCTGATGAAGAAAGAAGAAGCAAGACATGGAGAGGCAACTACGAGCAGCCCGTGGGGGATCAGCCTGGGCTCAGCTCACCATATCCCCCAAGTGGTTCATCGCCAGTTCGTAGGTGTGGATACCAAGAGATGCCTCCAGGTTATGGTTGGAAATATGCTTCAGGTTTCTTTCCCAAATCAAACGTCGAGCGATTTCATCCACCTGAAGAAGAGCACAGCCAGTATGAACATAAACTATGTCCGCCACGCGGCATCGCTTAGGAAATTCTGTGGTTTTTCGGAGAAAAGATGAGACTGGAGTTTAGGTTGGGGGCTGATCCTAGGATTATGAAAAGCAAAAAGAAATAGAGAAATGGACCAGAGTATTAGTACAGCGGGTAGGGCATTTGCTTTGTACATGGACAACCCAGGTTCAATCCCTGGCACCCCATGTGGTCCCCCAGCCCTGCCAGGAGTGGTCCCTGAGCACAGTGCCAGGATTAAGCCCTGAGCACCACCTGGTATGGCCCCAAAATTTAAAAAATGAGTAAATATGTAAATGAATACAAAGAGCACTGTGCAACATTCTGGAGTAATGCACAGAAAAATGTCTCGTGGCTAAAAAGCATTCATTAACCAGAAAGAAATATAACAACTATGTAAGGAAAAGGATAGGACTTGATGAGGGCTGGAGAGTATAAAGGAAAACCAAGGAGGAAGGGAGAGGGACAAGTGGGTCACTCTGCGACAGGCTTGGGGGGAAGGTGCGGGGTCAGGCTCGACCCTCCCAGTCTGCTCCCAACACCTTGCTGTTATACTGCTTCCTGTGGGTCTTCTTCCACAGCTCCCACTGTGTGTCCAGTCTCTCCTCCGAGGACAGAGCCACGCTTAGCACCAGCAGCAGTACTAGGGCCTTGAGCGTCCACATCCTAGAGGAGGGTACAATCAGGGACTGGCTTTTCTTTTTTTTGTCAAGGGGTTCATAGCCTGAGATGAGGAAGTAACAAGAACCGCATTCTCAAATGGCAATTTTTAGCATTTGGGAGCCAAAGACTCCTTCGAGTAGGTAATAAATTTTTGCAACCTAATACATTCCTTTTCACCAGTAAAAGGAACACAACACGCATGAATTCTGGGGGAAGTTGAGGACATTTCTTTGCATTTCCATGATAACACAATTAAGTCCAGATGAGTCTCTCTCCCACCCCGCGCCACGAGTCTCAGTACCTGTCTCCAATGTCCCAACGTAGAGTGAAATAAATGGTGAAAAATACCCACAAAAAAGACTTCCAGCTGTTTTGCATAGTGCTAATTTCTTTTTTCCTTGCCTGAATTCTCCTACTTTGTCAGTTCTTGCTAGGAGCAGAGAAGGGAAAAGTTGGCAGGGTTTCCTATCCTCAATGAGCTGCCTCCTGACTCTTTGGTTTTAATTCACTTGTTTTTCATGCTCCCTAGAAGGCAGGAAACTCCTAATCTTAGCCAGCTGCTGTGGACCAGGAAGATTTTTTTTCTGACAATAAAAAAAGGAAAAATCTCTGTCTTGCAGAAAATCCTCAGATGAACCAATTAGAATGTATGAGAGGGAAAAAAAAAAAAGCCGAGTTCTATTCTCATTAAACTCAACTTTCCAGAACTTGACTCAAGCCTTCTTTCTCGCCTGTAGATAGATTACGTGGCCTCCATTTTAAGAAGTTGGTCTGGAACAAGCCTCGAATTTTAAATTTATTGTTCTTTTGTTGTGTAATCTTTGAAAACTGGCAGAATGTCTAAGAGGAAATCTAGTATCAAGAGGGCCCCTGAAATGTCTCTGAGTGCCCTCCGCTATTTCACCTCCCTTCTGATAAACTCTTTGGGCGCGTTTCGGCAACACCAGAAACGCTCTATGGAGTAGACAGAGGAAAATCCTTTTCCATATCCTCTGCTTTCATTAACGATCGTCGACACAGACAAGACAAAAAAGAATCCTCAAACCTCCCAGGCAGAAGCTGCCAGAGCAGGAAATGACCGAGAAGGGCATGGCTACCCTCAGCCACAGCCTGCACGGGGCTCTCTGACTCCCCCAAACCACTACATTCCAACGAGTCTGAAACTGGAGAACCGCAGGAAAGCAAAGCCGAATCTAAGAAGCAGAAAATATTACCTGATTGCAAGCTGTCCTCAGGGCTCGTTTCGGCAGACAAGTGTGGATACTGCGGACAGGATGAGCAGGGTGCTAGATTTATTCTATCAGGATTGCGGAAGTCAGCTCCAGCAGTTGGCTGGAAATTTTGGACAGGGAAGGGAGGCGGGGATAGAAATGCTGAGAGAAGGGGGGTGGGGAAGAGGGAAGGAGGCAATGTGCGTGTGTGTGGACACTGCAGAGTGTTGCTAGGAATTTAGTTTCACACGAATGCTTTGAGGACAAACAACAAAGTCAACACGTTACTCTCAGTGCGACTTACCTTTGGAGTATAACTAGGGCACAGCTGGGGTCTCCCCAACCACAGTTTTGTTTTGAAGCCCCACCTGGCTGTGCTATGGTCCACTCAGGGATCACTCCTGGAAGAGCTCAGGGTGGGATATGGGATGCCAGGGATATAAGATGGATAGGCCAAGTACAAAGTATGGGCTCTCCCCACCCTGGCCCCTCTAGACCCCTCCCTTCTTTATTATATTATTTGGGGAAATCACCTCTTTTCCCACTTTGTGCCACTCTCTCCAACTCAAATCATTTTTGGTTTATTCAACAGATGAATGAATACAAAAACAGAGAAGGCAGGTAGTAAATGACTCCAAGTTACTTAGATTTTATAAGCTTGCTGGCTAAAAACTCGATTTCTGAGGCAAGGGAATAGTTTTTCTTGCCAAATACGGTTTTGCTGAGAAGGACATGCCCAGCAGAGATCAGTTCTAAAAGTAACCAAAAGAGAACTCTTGGCTACTTATGACGATACTTTAATCGACGCTCTAGCACAGATGGGCTCCCGAGACTCTCACTGCTCCCAGACTATGAGCATGCCTGATGACCATTATGTCTCAACGACTCAATGTCCTGATTCAGGATCAGTCACACGTACTTCTCCAAATGTTCCCGACATCCAAGCATGTGACAGATCATAAGAGTCTCATTTGGGTCCTAAATCACATTTCCAGACTCCCACTTTCTTCCATAATAGATGGAGAGGAAGAGTCAAAGAAGATACTTGCAGGGCTGGAGCAATAGCACAGAGGGTAGGGCATTTGCCTTGCACGCGGCCAACCCAGGTTCGATTCCCAGCATCCCGTATGGTCCCCTGAGCACCGCCAGGAGTAATTGCTGAATGTATGAACCAGGAGTAACCCCTGTGCATCGCCGGGTGTGACCCAAAAAGAAAAAAAGAGGATACTTGGAAAACAGAAAATACACACGCAGCCGATTCAGCATCTGGCCGGTTTGTGCTCACACTCTACACAGCCTTCTACTATGGGATGCTTTTTCTGCTGCTTTTGTTTTTGGTGACATCTGGTGGTGTTCAGAGGCTACTTGTAGCTTGGTGCTTGGGAAACCATTCTAAGTCAGTTCTTTTTTTTTTTTTTTGGCTTTTTGGGTCACGCCCTGCGATGCACAGGGGTTATTCCTGGCTCATGCACTCAGGAATTATTCCTGGCGGTGCTCAGGGGACCATTTGGGATGCTGGGAATCGAACCCAAGTTGGCCACGTGCAAGGCAAATGCCCTACCCGCTGTGCTATCGCTCCAGCCCCCCAAGTCAGGTCACCGGCCGGCCCAGTACTCTAGCATGCAAAATATGCCCACTAGTCCACACACCCATCCCAATGACTCTGAAATTTAATATGTACTATGTGTACTAAAGGAAATCGATGGAACAATGGGATGATAGCGATAGTGATGTGTACTAAATCACACAGTACAAGCTATGAAAAGTTAAAATATCCCACTCCTAATTCCTTTTAGTGAAAAGAATCCAAATTTCCCTTCCCTCAAGGCCCTGAACCCCACCCCACCCCAAGGTCAGATGTCACGAATGAGTCAGAATCAGGAGGACACTGCCAGGAAAGTATGCTGAGTGACAGAAGCCTGTCTTCCAGACTCCTGATATTACAGACAATTCTACTTGGTGCTTTGTACACCTGGAGCTCAAGCAGTAGATACAAGTAGCTGTAGTGTGTAGCTTATCAATTGTAAAGGAATAGAATGGCGCAATTAAAATCACACAACACAAGAAAGTATACAAAAGGAAAATATTTTGTTTTAAAATCTTTGTTACATGTCATTTTTTTGCCACTGTAAGGCTCAGCACGATGCTAGCAGTACAGAAACGGCCAACAAGAACAAAACAATCAAAAATAAAACCCTGAAGGAAAAGCAGAAACAAATCCCCAGCGCATCTTCTCCACCTACCCACCAAAGTCCTGTAATAACTGTACAATATTATAGTCCTGATCACATTTAAAAACGATTATTAAAAAAATTCCACTGGAAACTCAACTTTTTGGTTTCTTAAAATTGTGATATAAATATATTTGTACACGGCATGTGTGCACACAGAAGTCAAACATAAACTGTATCTTTCCACTCCATTACCTGACACTAGATTGAAGACGAAGAGAACAAGACTCAGTACTGGCATTTTCTCCGTTCCTCAGTCCTCTATGGCTACATTTACTGCTGAGACTTGCACTTAAGATACTGACAGAAACAAATGCAGGGAAGGGAGAAGGGGGAAGAAGGATGGTAACATGTGACTGTTACCTGGGGGAAGAAGGAGAGCAGGAACTGCATTTCTATGGCTGTTACAATTTGCTCCTTGACCCTATCAGGATGGGAGTCCAGGCCGCATGTGTCACACAATAAACATTGGCACTAGAATGGGAAATCCAACCCCAGAAAAGAATTGTAGGCTCTGAAGAGACCTGTGTCTGTCTGTGTCAGGCTGGATCCTTTCAGAACACACTGAAATACACTGCTCTGCAAGATCTTAGGCTTGATATTTGGTGTAGACTCCAGCAGTGAGGACTTCCACTGGGAATGCTAACCCAAGAAATTGAGTTTCCGGGGGCAGGTGCAATAGTATGCTGGGTAGCGCCTTTGCTTTGCACGCAGCCGACCCGAGTTCAATCCCCGGCATCCCATATGGTCCCCCAGCACTGCCAGAAGTAATTCCTGAGTGCAGAGCCAAGAGGAGCCCCTGAGCATTGCTGGGTGTGACCAAAAAACTAAAAAAATAGCTCCTCCCCTCAAAAAAAAGGAAGTCGAGTTTCCATGCAGAAATAACTGCTATAGCACACACACTAGGTGACTGACAGAAACTGCAGCATTATCCCTCTGGCCAGGTCTGGGGTTTCTTAAAGTGTTTATCGTGTTTGCAGATCTTCCACGTGAGAGAAGAGCAGCAGCACCGGAAGCAGGAGGGACCCAGCTTCATCACCGAATGTGTTCAGTGAGAGATCAACCAGATCAGCAGAATACTAGCAATTTATTACAGTTGCATATTGGCTAGGCATAACCCAGAGTGCAGCAAAGATACTTATTTAAATAATCTTTTGGCTGCAATGCTAAGTGGAAAAATATCTGGAAGATTTAACTCCTTAGGACTCTTCAAAAAACACAGAGAAAGACAAAGACAAAATCTGGGACAAATTTGCATAATTCCCAAATAGGAAGGAGGAAATGAACAGAAAAACAGACATTCACAGTCATCGATACGCTCGCTCACTCATTCTCTCTCTCTTTCTCAGGGCGCTGCTCACACGCAGCAGAAGTGGCTGTGCTCCCTCCGAGAGCCCACGTATGTCCCCTGTCGCATGGACCTCGAACAGGACGACAACGCTCTTCTCTCCATCTTATTCGGAATTTCTTTCGACTCTCCGCCCCCTCAGTATCCAAGGTACAGAGTGGCCCTTAGGTGCTTCGCCGGACCCCAACAGAAACCACTCCAGCACACATTCCGGTCTGGCAGACGGAAAGGCATTCTTGGCACCGCCCAGCCTCGTTTTCCCCAGGGTTCACAAAGCCTTGAGGATCCACGCGGTTTAGCATCTGAGAGAGGTCTCCGAGAGGCAGCAGGGATCGCGTACATACCGGGGGTGAGGGAGGGAAGGGAGAGCAACTTTTATTCTGCTTACAGAAAGATTTGATTTTCAAAAATAAACGGTGATTTTTCTCCCCCACCCCTTGGTCCTCACCCCGACAGTTCTATTCGGAAAAGGAAGGAAACATAGTCAGGTCAGGAAACTCTTCGCTGTTGTAGCTGCTGCTCTGGTCTCCCAGCATGGACAGCATCTCCTTCAAAGAGAAGAAGGAGAAACATGGGTCGCACACCTGAGCCTCTGCATGACCAAGGTCCCTCCCCCAGCCCCCCAGAAACGTCCTCGGCCTTCCTTCCCACCCACAATTCTGACTCCTTCAGGCGACAGGTTTTTTCCCTAGTCCTTTCTATGTTTTCCCTTAGTTCCACATTTCTAGATCTCAGTATTTCCAAAGAGAAGAAATTCTGATTGTCACATTTTATATAACCCTTAGATACATATGAAGCTTCTCTTTGGTTTGTTTTACCGTCTTTTAAACTGTGTCTAATCCTACTCCGTCCTGCCTAAGATGGACTCTATGCATTCTTGCAGTTCTTCGGGACTTAAATAAACAAACGTCTACGGTCATAATCAGTATAATTATGCCATTATTATGAAATGGGAAGAGGGTTCTTCTTGAATGGCTAAAATTACTCTGCCACTTTTGACTTCGTATCATTAACTCAGGTCTGGTGAAAAGAACACTAAGGCCATGTTAAGTTAACAATCTTTCCGATAATAGCATTTATCCCTATATTTTCTATCTTCACCCACATCTTAATCTGTGTGTGTGTGTGTCCCCCCGTTGGTCCTTTCTCTCTCTGTCCCCTGGCCCCTTCGCCCCCAGGTTTTAATTCTCAAAGTCTTTCCGGCCCTCTCACCTGGAAGACCTCAGGCTGGCCAGGCTGTTGTGCAGATGCCTGCTGGACATGCTGCTCACTAGAACTTGAGCGATGATGAGGCTGCTGGCCCTGCCACTGTGGCCAGACACCCACACCCTCTGCTGTCCGTGTCTGGAACTGTCCTGAAGTCTGGCCAGTTTCAGGAGCTATAAATGTAGCAAAAAAACATCAACCAAGTGGCTCCACTGTAGACAAGAAACCAGCACCGAAGTACACGCGAGACATGAACTATACTAGCTGTTGTCTGCCCTTCCTTCTGCCAATCGATGCCTCTCCTGTTTCAATATCCAGTCTCCAATTAGTCTTTCTGGGCTAGAGGGACAATATAGCAGATGGGGCGCTTTCCCTGTAGCCTCCAACCTTGGTTTGGTTCCCAGTACAGCATACGGTCCTCTGCGCCCTGCCAGGAGTGATCCTTGAACACAGAGCAAGGAGTAAGCTCTGAGCACGTCCAGGGATGGCCCAGAAACCAAAGGTGGAAAAAACTAATTTTTCTTTTCTGAATCCTTTTCCAAGAATCTTTTTCTATTTGAACTAAATATGTGTATTTCATTTATACTGCCTAGAAGTTTTTGTGAGATGTGCTGCGAGTAGCTTTCACGTGGGTGGGTTTAAATTCCAAATGGACTGTCACTGTACGGAGGTCAGAGCATCAGGACACGAGCAACACTGCAGCACTGTCCTCCCATTGTTCATCGATTTGCTCGAGCGGGCCCAGTAACGTCTCCATTGCGAGACTTGTTGTTACTGTGTTTGGCATATCGAATACGTCACGGGGAGCTTGCCAGGCTCTCGAGAGGGGCGGAGGAACCGAACCCAGGTCGGCTGCGTGCAAGGCAAACGCCCTACTCGCTGTGCTGCAGGTCACGAGCAGACCATGTTAACTACCAGATCCTTCTCTCTGCAGGGTCACTGTTCCTCTTCTTCTGAGGCTCAACCCACCAAAGTTGGCTCCACGGCTGGCGAGACTGGGGTAGGCAGCAGCACCAGGGGACGTAGCAGGAGCACCCGGAAGGGACATGGAGCTGAAGGACGCCGGGGTCTGAAAGCCGCCCGCCCCAAACTGGGAAGTCCGAGTCTTGGCTGCAGTCTGCTGTCAGAGATACGGAAACACAGATGGAGCAATGCTACTGCACAGATGATTTCTGCAGGACTCGACCCTCCTTCAAACCACCAGATGCTTCTAACTCAAGCTCATCCTGTATTTCCCACTGTAGACATCTTCCAATTAAGCCAGTGTCCCTGGGCACTCTCTCAAAGCAACTGTGTCAAAGTGCAAGAAGCCAAACGCCATGGAACTGACAAAAGTCTAGATTTAGGTTGTGGAAATTAAAAAATATTTTAAAATACTTGTAAGCTTTAAAGTTCAATTAAAAACTAAGGCATTAGCAGTATAGACTACAGAAAATAAAACATCTTCCATCATTACTCTGTACAACATTAATTTTTCCTAATGATGTCTCTTTTAGGTAACTAAACATTTCTGTCAATGCATATGCACTTTGGAACATTTGAAAAGTGAAGGAAGGCAAAGGATCATTAACAATTCTACCACAAGACCCACGCTAATATTTTTGAATAACGTCCACAACTTTTATTTCCTAAGCAATTTTTAATAGAACTGCTATCACAGTACAATGAAGCAATGATAGATTTTAGTTCTGATATTGAATTGCTGTGTTATTTAAAACATTCCTTAGGCAAATAAGCACATGTTACTATTTGAAAGACACAGCTATGTGGTTACCATATTTATTGGGGGAAAGGAGGTGTCTACAAGTGGCATTCACCGTGCCCCTTACAGTAGTTCTCAGCTAAACAGACCTGCTATTTCATTCAAGCGCCCTAGGATGTGGTGCTGCTGGGTCCTGCGGAACTGTGGAACTCTAACCCCAACAGTGCTGGAGGGCCTCCAAGGAGGCACCTGGCGACCCTCAGGGGGCCAGGCGGTGTTGGGGATCGGATCAAGGTGAACACAAGAAATGCAAGCACCTGAATCCCTACATGATCTGCTCTGCCCCTTGACATATCTCATATTTACTTACACAGATGGCCGACCCGAGTTCGATTCCTCCGCCCCTCTCGGAGAGTATTCGATATGCCAGACACAGTAACAACAAAGTCTCCAATGGAGACGTTACTGGGCCCGCTCAAGCAAAAAATAGATACCACAGTTTATAAATAAGTTGTCAATTTTCTCCCTTGTTCCTATTATTTTGTATCCTTCAGCAAAGTGGAAACACCAGAACTCCCAAAATATATCCGGAACTCAAACATGTTCAAAAAATTCTGTATGAGCAACTGAGATTTAAACTGAACGGTGACAGTGGCAGACACTGAGATTTTTTTTAATTACTGTGTTTTTTAGTTATCTTGCTTCTACTAAAATGGGAAGTAGGAAGTAGTATTTGAGAAGGTGACAAAGAGGAAAGAGGGAAACGCAATATTTTAAGTATGAGGGAGATAAATCCCAAACAACAAACCAAAAACTATATAGAGGACAGACAGAAGAGAAGCTTCACCTGGGCCGAGAAGCCTGGGCGGGTGCTGGAGGTCCAAGCTGGCACTGCTCCCTGCGTGGGGTTTGAGTGGCGGGAAATGTGGGCCAACATCTGCCCCGCAGAGGCTGAAGGCTGCACGATGGTTACAGGCGGGGCCAGAGCACTGTTTCTAGAAGTAAACAAGTGAGTCAAGGATTAAGGGCAAGTTTGATCACAGGACACTGGAAATGTCCCTACATTCCTCTGACTTCCCTGGGGTTAAGAAAAACTTGGTAACAGAGTCTGGAAGAGACAGAAATACTGACAGTCACACACCGATCAGGACACACAGGTGGCACCTAGACCAGAGCAGTAGAAAAGGCAGGTGCAAAGAAATAGGAGGAAGGGAGGAAGGAAAGCAGAGGGCCTCATCCCGGGCCCTAGGAGTCCACTGCTTTGTCCAAGATAGCCAGAAAAGCTAGGAGAGAATGAGATTTGGATTCAGCAACTGAATCCCTCAGTTTCCCTGCAAAGCAGCACACACATAGGGGCTCACCTGAAATTCTCTGCCGGCCGGGGGGTAGGAGGGAATGTGCTGCCCTGGGAGAATAGCTGTTGGGTGGCAGGGACAGTGCTGGAGGAGATGCCTTTACTCTGATCTGTGGACCAAAAGGAGTGGGGGGAGGGCCAGTCAAGGGGCTGTAGTGATCATTAATTCCGTAAGTTCCTACACACTCAAGCGTTACTACGATTTAGCGGGATCTGTCGGGAGACCACAGAGTGGGTGGCAGCAGGCCGACCAGTACATGATCTAAATAAGAAATCTAAAGGAGACCGAGAGAGAAACGCACCTGCATTAATACTGGAGTAGATTTCTGAAAATCTTGGATCTCTATCTTGAGCAAACAGACCATCTGCCTTCTCAAGGGGCTTACTATGCTCTGGCACTGTGGTGCTGACAGGCTGGACAGAAACCTGTGGAACACAGTGAGAAAAATGACCACTCAATACTAACATGAGATTTCAACAGCCCTGAGAGTCAAAGAGACCCACATGCACCGGAAATGAGTGGTGGTCTGCAGGGTGACAGAGTCTGGAAGGCACTGCTCTAAAGTGGTCCCACCATTTCCTCCAAAGAAGACACACTAACCTGGGAATGGCTATAGCTGGCCAGTCCATCTCTTCCTGGCACCACATCCAATTCTGTCTGCTGCTGCTGCTGCCTGTATGTTTAAGGCCAGTGAGGAAAGAAGAAGAAGGAAAGACTTTTAACAGAATCTGGGGCTTGATAGAGAAGGAAGAATGGAGTTCTTCAAAAAGAGACAGGAAAGAAAGGAGCTAGAGATGCCCACCCCCCCCCCCCCAAACACACAAACAGGTGCTCGGTGAGTGTAGGTCCTGCTGTTCCTCACCTGGGGGCCAGCGGGCCTGTGCCCAGCTCCAAGGGCAGACTAGCTGTGGGACCGAGCTGTGGCCTCTGAATTGTGCTCGTCAGTGTTGGCCGGGTTTCATGACTAGAGTTCCTGAGAAAACAAGAGCAGACAGAACAGAAAAAAAAATAGTACTTGACTCCTTTGGTACATAAAGTTCTATAGATTCACCTGTAGGCAGGAAATCATTATAAATTCCTCTCTGAAGTCCTTTCTACAGGTAACCTACAGCTTCAATTTAGCCGTGATTCACAAAGGTAACATAATACAAACAGAAGCTACGTAGGATGGCACAAGTGCTTGTTCTGTTTGGGCTCTAACTACTGTCAGGTAGTCAATGTCTTATTGTGGATACGGTATATGAATGTGCATTTCCATACTGTTACTTAAAAAAAAAATAAATAAAAATCTGAACTGCCTGTATATCTTTTCTCTTCCGTCTATAATTTATGTTACTTTCCAAGCTGCCCATGAAGAATTATTTAAAGGGCCAGAACAATCATAAAGCAGATAGGAGATTGCTCTGCAAAGGATAACCAGGATGCAATCCTCAGCACCTCAGAGGGTTCCCTGAGTCCTACCAGGAGTGATTCCTGGGCACAGAGCCAGGAGCAAACCCTGAGCATCGCCAGATGTGACTAAATACGACCCCCCCATCTTAAAATGAAATATTAAGAATTTAAATTTATGATAGTAGAAAAAACTGTCCATACAGGGAAATCCATAATTTTGACAAACAACTTCTTAAATTTCTAACTTCATTTATTTGGCTGCACTGAAAATTTTACTGGAAAGTACAGATGCAATGTTGACACACGGTATTATTTACACTTCTAATTATTTATGATCAGATCTTCAAAAGCCAGGTTGAAAGTCAATTCTATACAGATTAAGCGTAAAAGAAGTAGGATCAAATGGAAGTAAGTCACTTCGGCACAGATTAAATGGATAAGTCACTTCTCCACAGATTAAATTGACACCCACCAGGATAGTATAATGAAAAAAGAGAGCAAAGAATGAGGAGAAAGTAAAACCATCCACACACTGCTCATGGAACAGTAAAAAATAAAAATGAGCAGCTAAACAGAAGATTTAGCATTGAGTTATGACAAGATGCAGTGAACGCTCCTAGTAATACATCCAAGAGAATTAAAAATATGTGCACAAAATCTAGGAGGACGATTGTTCACATCAATATTCTTCATTTTATCAGGTTTAGGAGCCTCCCAAGCAGTGCTCGGGGGGGTCCACGGGGACCCCTAGCAATACCCCACCAGGCTGTCGGGGTGGCACGACTGAAAGCGAGGACTGAAGAATGTGGTGCTGTCTAGACCCAGCAGCACTGGAGCTCCCTAGAGTCACAACCTGCATTTCCGGAGGAGTCCTTCAGTGCACCGCTATCTTTCCATTCCCATAGCAGTCTTATTTTTTTTGGTTTCTTGGGGGGTGGGGGGGAGGCACACCTAACAATACTAATACTCGGGGCTATTCCCAGCTCTGTTCTAAGGAGTCATTTCTAGCAACGCTTGGGATCTTATGTGCAAGGCTCCTGCATGCAAAGCATGGACTCAAGCCCACTGCCCTCACTCTCTGGCCCTCTAACACACACAAAATAGAGAAATAACCTGACATCAACTAACTGGGAAATAAAATGTGATGTGATACACCCATACAAAGAAACATTGTTTGACAACAAAAAGAAATTAAGTGTAGATACGTGCTATAATATATGTGAACCTTAACACAGACTAAGTGAAAGAGGCCAGTCACAAAGAAATCACATAGTATCCAGAATGGTCAAATTTATAGTCAGGCCAGAGCCATAGGACAGCAGGGAGGGTTCTTGCCTTCCTTGTGGACACCCAAGGTTGATTCCTGGCACTACATCTAGTCCCCAAGCAACGCGAGGAGTAATTCCTGAGCATAGCGCCAGGAGAGAGCCCTCAGTTCTGCTGGGTGTGGTTTAAAAGACAAAAACAAAACAAATTTTGAGGCAGAGAGCAGCTGTTGTATGGGACTTAGCACGTGGGCAAATAATTGCTAATGAGGGGCTGGAGCGATAGCACAGCGGGCAGGGCATTTGCACTGCATGCCGCCAACCCGGGTTCGATTCCCAGCAATTCCATATGGTCCTCCCGAGCACCGCCAGGAGTAATTCCTGAGTGCAAAGCCAGGAGGAACCCCTGTGCATCACCAGGTGTGACCCATAAAGAAAAAAATAATTGCTAGTGAATACGGTATTTATCAGAAGAGGAGAGTGTACTGAAATGACACTGAGTAGCTGCACAGCCTATGACATTAACAAAAACCCTGCAGGAGATCCTCAAAGGGCTAGAGTACATGCTCTACGTACCAGGTGGCCAGGACACTTCTGTAGTTTTAGGACCATGTGTCTGCCAGAGAGGCAGGGAGATGCAAGGGGGAAACTGGGGACAGGTGAAGGGACAGGTGTTGTGTCAGAGTGTTGTATTTCTGAAACTCGATAATGAACAACTTTGTAACTGTATATCAATGGTTCAATTTTAAAAATTAATATTTTGGGAGCCGGAGCAATAGTACAGTGGGTAGGGCGGCCTTGCACGCTGCTGACCTGGGATAGATTCCCAGCATCTCATTATGAACCCCCAGAACTGCCAGAAGTAATTCCTGAGTACAGAGCCAGGAGCAACACCTGAGCACTGCCAGGTGTGACCCAAAACAAACAAACAACAACAACAAAAAAAAGCATGAACTTTTATACTTTTATAACATCACCAAACCTTCAAGTACAGGATAAATAATCCTAGAGCATGAAAATTGAGAATTTTAAAAATCTGTTTATGTTGGGGATAATGTGGGTTTTAAAATTGCATCAGGAAGGCGGAGCGATAGCACAGCGGTAGGGCGTTCGCCTTACAAGCGGCCAACATGGCCGACCCGAGTTTGATTCCTCCGCCCCCCTCGGAGAGCCCGGCAAGCTACCGAGAGTATTCGATATGCCAAACACAGTAACAACAAAGTCTCCAATGGAGACGTTACTGGGCCCGCTCGAGCAAATCGATGATCAACGGGAGGGCCTTTACCTTTACCTTTACCAGGAAGGCATACGTGCATACATAAACACAGGAACAGAATCCTATATCTTAACAAAATAAATGCACAAATATATTTTTCAGAGGGGTAACTCCTAGAGGTGCTGGGATGTTCAGGATATTCCCTGCAATGCTCAACCTGAAGTTTGGCTGATGGGTTAGTGTTTAGTCAGAGCTGCAATGCCCCTGCAGTGCTGCTCAGGGGCCACCAGGACCCACACAGCAGCCCTGGGTTGGGTGAGGGGGTAGCATGCTGCACCGGAGATAGAACTTGGGGTCTCAAACAGGCTAGAACAGGACAACCCACAGTTTAAGAAACTAGTTTTTAAACTGTAGCAGATTCTTAATGGAGATGACAAAGTTTTATATTGCAGAAGATGCTCTCAAGGACTTTCGTAACTAAACTGAAGTAAACGCCTAATTTCAAACAGAAGACTAACTCTGTAAAGGTTCACGTGTATCACTTGGCATCCGTTGCTCTTCGATTTGCTCGAGTGGGCACCAGTCCGCTCATTCATCCCTGTCACACTCCATTCGTCCCTGTTGTGTGCTAGGGTAACCCAGCGTGCTCCAGGAATACGAAGAGCATCAAACCATTCATTCAGGATCTTGACGCAGAAGCCTGACCATCTCGTAGGTGGGCGGCCACGTGTTCTTTTGACGTCCCGTGGAATCCAGTCGCTAACGGCTCTAGACCAGCGGTTGTCTCCAAGTCACATTACGTGTCCGGCCCATCTAATTTTCAACGCCTTGGCAAACAAGGCAGCGTCCCTGATCCTTGATCATCGATGGAGGTCGGAACTCCGGATTCCTTCTCTCTCTTGAGTGAAGCGTGATACCCCAAGCATAGCAATTTCGATTCCTCTTTGGGAGACCCAAATGGCGTTCTCATCCTGTTTTCGTAGGGCCCAGGTCTCTGAGGCGTATGTTAGTGCAGGAAGAACGGTGGAGTCGAGAAGATGTGCCTGGAGCCGGAGGTTAGTTCTTCACCCTCTTAACAACTTCTTCAATGCTCCTGAAGGCATTCCACACTGCTCTCTTCTGCACAGTTCTGGCGCCAAGTTATTCATCATGCTGAGTTCTCGACCCGGATACACATAACTGCTGCATTTGGAGATGTTCGTTCCGTTGAGAGTGAATGGAATGTCGGGAACTAGTTCGTTTCTCATGAACATTGTCTTCACTGAGATCCAGCTGCAGTCCAACCTTTCCACACTCACGGTAAAATCGGCCAGCATTCCTGCCGCTTGGCTAATGCTTGGCACCTCCTCGAAAGGTTAATGGAGCTGAATTTTAAATTGAAGCCAATGATCATTTACTATCTGAAAATTTTAGGACCCTTAAAAATGATGTAAAATTTACTTTGCCTGTGCTGTACTACTGGAACCACAAAGTCTGGATGATAGCACGCATTTCCAACATGGCTTACTGACTACTTCAAAGTCACTGTTGAGGCCTAATAATTAGAAAGCCATTCCTTCCAAAGTATTATTGCTCTTTGGTTGGTTGGTTTTGGGGCCACATCCAGCAATGCTCAGGGCTTACTCCTGGTTCTGTGCTCAGGGTTCACTCCTGGCAGGGCTGGGGAACCAGATGGGGTGCCAGGTATAAGACCCATGTTGGCCATGTGCAAGGCAAGTATCCTACCCACTATCCTACTGCTCCAACTCCTATTACTGTTCTTTGAAATATATCCAGTCACCCGAGAATTCTAATGAAGTCATACAAGGAAGGTTAGTGCTATTTTCATGTCTACTAACAATGGATGCATCCTGTCACCCACAATTCAAGAATTACAATTTTTGATTTTGGGGGCCACATCTGGTGATGCTCAGGGCTTTTTCCTGACTCTCTGCTCAGGGATCACTCCTGGTAGGTTTGAGAACCACATGGTATGCTGGAGATCTAACCCAGGTGAGCTGCATGCAAGGCAAATGACCTACTCACTGCACTATGGCTCCAGACCAAGAATTACAACTCTTAAGTCGTATTATTTAAAAATACATTTCTTAAGACTTTCACTGCCAAATACGTGATTATTCTGATGGATCTGGGCAAAGTAAACAGAGAATCTTCTGGGAAAAGATTCTATCCTAGGGCCAGAGACAGGGGTAGGGCACTTGTCTTGCACACAAATGACCTGGGTCCAATATGATCCCCTGTGCCCCGATCCAAGTGTCAGGAGTAAGGCTTGGACAATGCTGAGCGTGACCCCAAAACAAAACAAAACTATTTACCATTCTAAGTACCAAAAAAAACCCAGTTATGATTAACAGGATGATACTGAAATGACACTTTTATTTATACTTATTTTTGAGTCGCATCCTACGGTACTCAGGGCTCTATGCTCTGAGTGACCCTGCAGGTGCTGGGGGTATCAAATGCAGTGTCAGGGATTCAAATCACGGTTAGCTGCATGCGTGGCAAGTGTCTTAACCTCTGTATTATCTCTCCAGCACCCTGAAATGGCAATTTTAACAGGAGTTTGGAAGAGGGTAATTCCAAGAATCATGGGTAACTTTGAGAGGTCTTCCTTTAGTGAAAAGGAAGTAACAGCACATGCGATGAAAACAATAAACAATCAGAAGAGACACCTGAAATGTGAACGAACTGAGGAATCTCATGATAAAATTCAAACCAACGAGAAGAAGCACCCATGGGTGGGCAAAGAAAGTGGTCGTTCAGATGGTAACTACTACTGGTCAAGTTGCTCAGAATGTGGTATAAATGACAACCAAAAATTCTTTCGTTATGTAAATGTAGTTGACAAAGTAGGGGCAGTGGTTGAGAGGACTAACTTCAATTTTCAAAAACATTCTACTGTAGGTAAAAGGTTATCAAATACTATTGTCTGCTACATAGAAAATGTCAGAGAAGGAAGGACCAGTGATCATGGCAAATTATTTTACTAAATAATAATAAATAAGTCACTGTCACCCATACCTTAGGTACAACCACTACTGTGAGCAGCCAACCATCAAGATCATGTAAGATTTCCACGAGAAAAAGGACTAGCTAAGCTGAAGACTCAGATGCGTTTTTTTTAAAGCAATAATGTCTTTTCTTTTTTTCGCTTTTTGGGCACACGGCCAACCCGGGTTCGATTCCTCCGCCCCTCTCGGAGAGCCCTGCAAACTACCTAGAGTATTCAGCCCGCATGGCAAAGCCTGGCAAGCTACAGAGACGTATTCGATATGCCAAACACAGTAACAACAAGTCTCACAATAGAGACGTTACTGGTGCCCACTCGAGCAAATTGATGAACAACAGGAGGACAGTGCTACAGTGCAGTGCTTTTTTGGGTCACACCCAGCGATGCTCAGGGGTTACTTCTGGTTCTGCACTCAGGAATCACTCCTGGCAGTGCTCAGGGGACCAAATGGGATGCCAGAGATCGAACCCCAGTCGTTGACGAGCAAGGCAAACACCCTACCTGCTGTGCTATCACTCCAGTCACCAATATTGTATTTCTAAAGTATGCTCCTTGTTTAGCATACCTTAGCTTATCCATATGCTACTACACATTGAATAGGCTACAGTAAATATGGAACTTTTATATTTATAGGAAGACCAATGAAATTTGTGCGATTCGCTTTACTGCAATATTGTGGAGGTCTGGAAGGAAACTTTCAATATCTCCCCAGTGGCCTATAGCTGCAACAGAGTCCATATGCCGCACTATCTTTACTATCTGGCTTTTTACAGAAAAAAAATACAGACACCTACTCTAAAGAAAAATTCTGCCAGACTAGAGCAATAACTTGGCTTATAAAACAGAATTCTTTCTAGAAAAGAGTAAAACCTAAAATTGAAATACAAACCTTCACATCTCAGAACAGTATTTACTACTACAGAAGTAGACAAGAAGGTAGACTGATCAGGCTAAGCTGACTTGGTCCATAGGAAATCCCAACACTGGAAAGGCCTTTATGATACATACTTCACATTGGTGTTGGTACAGATGATGTACTCAATTTCATCTGAATAAGGGTTCTGGAAAGTAAAGGAGCTGGTTCTCATCCAGAGCCATTCTCGATTCTTGGAACGAAATCGGAACATGACAGACAGCACTTGGCCTTTCAACTTCACCACCTGAAAAAGTTTCCATACTATTAGTGAAACCCAGAAAATATTTCCTTTAGAAAAAAAAAAACTGCATTTCAACAATCCTAAAATCCTTGTGCTATGTCCTTAGAGCAATAACTTGCTCTAAGTTTTGTTAGTCCTACTAACAAAATGAGTGAAAACTAAGTGAGTAGATAAGGAGGAGGTATATTTATCACATGGTTCTTCCCAGAGCTCCAAGCTATCATACCACTCTAGTCAAATAGGAGTAATGATTATTTCCCTTGAAAAATCCCTCCAATGTATGCTGGTCATCTTCACAATACAAATTATACTTAAATTCTATTTCATGAAGTTTGCATGTTGCTCCTCAGTCCTAACTACCCCCAAACCTACAAATTTGTTTTCACAGCATTCACAAAAAATTCTAGGTTGGCTTCAGTCTTGTTGATTTTGTGTTTTAGATTTATTTATTTATTTATTTATGGCTTTTTGAGTCATACCCCAGCGATGTTCAGGGGATACTCCTGGCTCTGCACTCAGGAATGATTTCTGGTGGTGTTTGGGAGACCATATGGGTGGCTGGGGATGGAACCAGGGTTGGCTGCATGCAAGGCAGTACAGAATGCAAGTACAGCCCTACAAACTGCTCTGGCCCCTATTTGGCCTTGTGAAAGAAAGTAAGTTTAGATTATTTTAGTTTCTAATCTAATAAAACTGAAAACAAACTTTGATTCTCCCTCCCTAGTAATTAAAAGTTAGTGTCCAGGATGTGGCTCAGTGGTAGAGAGCGTTCCTTGCAAGTACAAGGTCCTGGTTTTGAATCCCAGCACTGCAAACTGACTAAAAATATTAGCAGCTAATATTTACAGTTATTACGTAGCTCACATAGATTATGTGCATATTTTTGGTTGGGGAGGAGACCAGCTTGATCACAGTGCTGGTGCTCGGGGCTACTCTCCCAGAAGTGGTCTGGGGACCAGGTGCTGCCAGGGATAAAACCCAGGCCCTCCATGTGCAAACACGCACGCCACTCACTGAGCGACATCCCTCTGATCCTACGTGCTTTATCTTTAAGAACATCAGCAGAGGGCCATGGGTGAGGCTCAGAAGCAACGAACATGCTCTGAATCCATGAAACTTGGATTTGATACCCAGCACAACACATACACACATACAAACAAAAAATACAACATATATTTAACATTACCCAAAGGAAATCAGACGTAAATATCTGCATGGAAACAAAAGTAGTCTTAACTTAAATACTCACCTGTGCCTACAGTATACTATATAAAGTAAGTATTATTACATTTATTCGTTAAACCAAGTACTGGATTTGAAAACCTGCTTATTGCTGTGTACATCTATTCCAATGAGATAGAAGCCCAGGGTCTCAAAATACCTAAACTTACATTGTCTTAGAGATTGCCGCCCACAGAGCCCACTGGCTGCCGATAGAGCTACTTATCGGCCATGATCCCAGAGACTCAGAAACAAAGCTCGGAACCCAGCGGCTTTTGGCAGAAATCCCTCCAGATTTAATTATTAAAACTTCATCATATGTTATTTATAATCAGCAATAGAAAACAAATTGTCTACGGTTGCCTTTTCGGCAGATCTGAGTGTTGGGGTAAAATCCCAAATAATAATGGTGGGTCTGGTGTCAAACTATTGAATGTGATCAAAGTAGAGAGAGAGTAACGTGGAAATCATCTGCCCCACAGGTAGGGGTAGGGTGTGGGATGGGAGAGATACTGGGGTTTTTGGTGGTGGAAAATGTGCACTGGTGAAGGGTCGGGTGTTTCATCATCGTATGACTGAGACTTAAACCGAAAACTCTGTAACTGCTCTCACGGTGTTTCAATTAAAAAAAAAAAAAACTGTCTTATAGGAGAAACAACAACATTAATTTTTTTAGTGTTTTTGTGGTGCCAGAGCTCAAACCCAAGGACACACATGAAAGGCATTTTCTCTGTCACTGAGCCACACCCCTCACCTGATAACATCATGGGGTTTTGGGTTTTTTAATTGTTTTCTGGGCCGCATCTGGAGGTGCTCAGGGCTTACTCTTGGCTCTGCACTTTAGAATCACACCTGGTCAGCTCAGGGAACCATGAAAGGACCCAGGGTTCTAACCCAGGTAAGCCACATGCAAGGCAAACATTCTACCCATTGTAGAGTGACCCCAACATTTAAGTATCTTTAAGCCAGCAGGAAGGTGATAACTAATGCTGACATTACAATCTGATATAATTATAGCAGAAAATGAGATGCCACTTAGCAAGAATAAGGGACTGGGGAAATAGCTCAGTGGCACAGCACTTACCTTATATGTGTGAAGACCTGGGTTCAGTACCCACAGCCCCCTTTAGCAATAAACAATAATAAACTGTATCTTTGAAATACAAACAGGAAAGCATTATATGTATGAAACACCACTACAGCAGTGGGAAGGAATTAAAGGAAAAATAACCTTTATTGAAAATAATTAAATTTATGGACAGAAAAGGAAAATAAAAATTTAAAATATAAATCCATTTATTCTTAAAAGATACCAAAACATGGGGGCTGGAGCGACAGCACAACGGGTAGGGCGTTTGCCTTGCACGCGGCCGACCCGGGTTCGATTCCCAAGCCTCCCATATGGTCTCCCAAGCACCGCCAGGAGTAACTCCTGAGTGCATGAGCCAGGAGTAACCCCTGTGCATTGCCGGGTGTGACCCAAAAAGAAAAAAAAATCAAAACCTAGAAATCAACAACTAAAATTAAGAAGTGAGATCATACATTAAGATGCAACCATACTCGTATACTTGGAAATCTTAGCAACATGGGCACAGTGGATAAAGAAGGCACCTTGAGCACAATCTGAACCTGGGTCTACCTGGATTTCCATATGGTCTGCAAAACCCTTCCAGGAGCAGAGAACCAGGAATAAGCCTTGAAATCAACCGGGTGTGATCTCGAAATTCCAAACCAAACCAAATTAAACCCAAAACTCTTAGCAACAAACTGATGTCAAAACACCATCTTTGTATCTGGCTCAGGGGCAACGTGCATGCCTTGGAGGGATGAGACCTGGGTCTCACCTCTGCCTGGCACCACATAAAAAGAACCTTTGTAGTTATGAAGTATATATATGAGCCATACAATTTATTTAGGTATAAACTGTGCAGAAGTATTCAAATAAAACACTGTTGACCATAGCATCAGAGTAGCAGATTTCAAATACAGGACATAATATCTTCTGAGCAGTTTCAATGCTTTAAGAAGTCAGAATACTTTTTCTGAGCATACATTCACACATGCACGATGATCACCCTGTGAGCGATAGATGAGTGGATAAACTGGTAATGCTAAGACTTAAGAAGAAAAACTTTTCACTGATTTCTTGTGAAAGAAATACTATGCAATTCAAATCTTTTTTTTAATAATCATTCCAATATTCAAGCACTGTTATTTATACTCACTTGTATAAGAGGATTAAAGAAAAAAATGAACTACAGCTTAAAGCTAAGTCTGTGATGACACAGGAAAATCGCAATAAAGAATCACCTAACAATTAGAAGGTAAGTCTCAATTATCTGTAAGAGAACTCTGTTAAAGGAGCCAAGAAAATGGCTAAGGGTTCATATGCATGCTCTGAGCCCCAGAACCGATCCCTGGTTCCAAGTAGTCTCCAAATAAGGATGAAAACCAACAAGAACAAAAAGATGTGGTCAACAAACAAAAAAAAAAGTGGGGGTAGAACTCTGTGAAGTGGCTAGGGAATGAAGCTTAGCAGAAGATACATGCCTGCACACACAGGAGCTCTGGTGCCCCAGTCCCCCACCCCCACCCCAAGAAAAGGAAGGTGGAAGAGAATTCCATTCAGAGGGGCCAGAGCTCTAGTACAGTAGGTAGCATGCTTGCCTTGAATGCTGTCAAGGCAAACGCAGGTTTGATCAAACCCAGGTTTGATCCCCAGCAATCCATAAGGTCCCCCAAGCCGCACTGGCAGTAATTCCTGAGTGCAGAGCTAGGGATAAAGTCCTGAGCACTGCTGGACGTGGTCCGAAACAAAAACCAAAAAAAGAACTCCATTTTAATGGCCTTTCTTATGATTCTACTCTATCTTTCTATATTACTATTTATTCTGTCTATCCTAATTGTTGCACTTTTCAGTATTTTTTTGGGGGGAGGGGAGCCTATTGATATCAGGAGTCTCCAGGGCTACGGCTGACAGTGCTTGAAGGCCGTGTGATTCAAGATCAAACTAGAGCCTCGTGCACGCCAGGTATGTGCCCTAGTCCTTTATCTCCCCAGGCCCTCAGATACAGCTACTTACGTATCAGAGGACTCAAACAGTGAATGGACTAAGCCAAACAAAATTATCTTTGACATTAGAAAAAGCAGGAAAAGAGAAGGAGGAAGGGGAAGGGGGAGGAGAGAGAAATATTTTGAACATTACTCATAACTTCCAGTACCATTTTTTTTTCTGCACCTGAAAAATTCAGTGCTACAGAGGCTGGCATGATGGTACAGCGAGTAGGGCATGTGTCTTACATGCATCCGATCCAGGTCCATATGTATTTCCCTGAGTACTGAGTAAGCCCTGAAAGCTGAGCCAGAAATAAGTCCTGAGCACTACCAGTGTGGACAAAATACCAAAAATAAAAATATTTTTAAAAACTAAGTGCCACAGAATTAAGTGCTAAAGAACATAAAATTGTAATGACTGCCACAATGACACATTAATGACACATTAATCACATTAATCAGTGGTCAATTTTTATGGCATTATGCCAGGTAAAAATATACTTCAGACACAAACCAAGAAAGAAAGTTACCTGTTGGAAGCTGTCTCTTAGAAGCTGCTGGTCTTCAGGGTGACAAAATTCTACAATGTTTTTTCCTAAGAGTTCCTAGAGAGAAAAAGAATGTCAACACTTATGATTATCTAACTCTCCTGGGCCATCAGCGGAGTATTTGGATTTTATTTATCCCAGAACTATAACTGAATATGGGCACGGAGGGGAACAACCAAAAGTAAATTGTATTATACCTCTAGAGCAAGAACGGGAAACCTCTTTCGGCCAGGGCTATCTGGAGACTTATAACATCAATTATGGGTTCCGGGGTTGTGGGCAGCCAATGAGAAGCACATGTTTCTCCTATCCTGTACCAGGCCCAGATCACAGGATTTCATGGGCTAAGAACATTCCCCATCCCAGGATCTACAGACTTTTTCTTAACAAAACACTGTACATTTATCTTGACTGCACTTTTTATAGATCAGAGGTATAATTTACATAATTCACTCAATTTAAACATACAATATGATGACCTATAATACATGTGCAATCATTACTGAATCAAATTTTAAACCATGTCTATTGTCCTTTAAAATTCCCTTGCACCCATTTTGCTGTCAATCCCTGCCCCCAACCCCTAGTCAACCACTGATCCGCTCTCTTGCTTCTTCAGTTTTGCCTTTTCTAGAGGTAAATATATAAATGGAATCATAAAGTATACAGTCATTTGGACCTGGCTTCTTACATATGCAATACATTATTTTTTTACCTTTTTTGAGGGGGTTAGGGGTGTCCCACCCCAGCAGAGGCAGGGGCTCACTCCTGGCTCTGCACTCAGGGAACACTTCTGGTGGGGCTCAGGAGACCATACGGGGTGTAAGGCTCGAGCTGCAGCTGGCCACACACAAGGTAAACTCCCTACCTCTGTACTCTCTTTCTGGCCCCCTTATGGTTTTAACATGGATATACATAACAGCTTCTGTATCAATTTAACAGTTAACAGACATTTAGATTGTTTCTACTTTTTGGCTATATAAATAGAGCAAATATAGCTATAAACATCTATACAGAATTTTTTGTGGAACATGGTTTTTCTTAGATAAACAGCTATAAGCAGAATGCTAGATTGAGAAATATATTTAGCTTTTTAGAAAACTGCCAAACCATTTTCCCCATAGTGGCGCAATCATTTTACACATCTGTCAATAATGTATGACAGTTCCAGTTTCTGTCACATTCTCCTCAGCACTTTTTGATTAGTCATTTTGATGAGAATTTTTATATCATCATCATCCATATTCATATAAATAAAACACATATTCACCCTGAGTCCAACCAGTTCTACACTATTCTACCCGAATATTCTACCATATTTTCCAAGATGGGATGATAACCTTGATAAAGAGCCGGGCTTTTACATAATCGAACCATCGCGACAAATGCAAGGGAGCGAGATCTGACTGCCGGCACCGCCAGAGGCCCAGCTCCTCACCTGCGGCTGGTAGCCGACAGTAGCCACACAGCGGTGATCCACAAAAGTGAAAATCCCCTCAATGTTATGTCGAGAGATAAACTCTGTTGGTTGGCAAACATTATTCATGTCTGTACAGTTGGGAGAACTAGTTACCTGCAAGTAAAGAGATAAAAATTAGATCCACTAAAAGCAAACTTTTTTTTGAAAGCAACTTTTTTAGAGACTTTTAAGTGTTCACTTCTTCTCCAGAAAGGAAAAAACAACAGTCACAATCAGAAAGGACATGAGGTCGAGCTATACTGCCACACAGAACTCTAGAAACTTTCTGAAGAAAAAGCTAAAGAAATCACTCAATCCATAACCCACCTACTTCCTCTGTTTAAGTGATGTTCCTTATTCAAATTGGAAAACTGTAGTTCTAAGAAACATTTCTGGTTTTTCTTTGGGGGAGGGTGTTGGTGCGCAGGGTGGGAGGGTGGAATGCTACCCCTAATGAGAGGCATCAGACACGGGGCCTGCTGGATGCAAGTCAGTGCTCCGATCCTCACTGGCCCTAAGAAATGTCCATTCTCATAAAAAATCAAATTAATTATACTTTTCTATTGTTCATTACCAAAAAAACAAAATAAAATGATCTCTATTTTCTCAGAGCAAAAGAAATTAACTGGGCAGAGAAAATTCTGCATTGTAGAACCAAAACTATGAATGATGCAGGGAAAAGAGCTCCCTTCCGAATATAAAGTAACAAAATATGAGATTAATACCCAAGAATAGCTGAGATCAGCACCAGGAGGATTACTCCATAGCTTAGAGGCCAGCCGGGTATCCTAGAGGAAAGGGCAGTTCAGATAGAGAAGGGAGCACCAAATAAAGGATGTTTGGAGGATCCTCCCAGGAGGGGAGATGCATGTCGAAAGTAGACTATGGACTGAACATGTTTGCCACTCAAAGCCTCTTTTGCAGACCACAACACCCAAAAGGAGAGAGAGAACACAGGGGATTGCCCTGCCACAGAGGCAGGGGGGGATGGGGGGATGGGGGTGGGAGGAATATTATCCATGGTGGTGGAAAATGGGCACTGGTGGAGGGATGGGTTTCTGATCATTGTATAATCGAAACCCAAGCACAAAAAATTGTAAATCTACAACTGTACCTCATGGTGTTTCACTAATAATAATTAAAAAAAAAACCACATCAAAGTATATTTAGCATATTTGGGATTGCATTTATTAAAGCATCCATTAAACAAGGAAAAAAAAAGAGCTCCCTTCCCTCATCACAGATCTCTTTCAAATCAGAGAAGCAACATCAACAGTGACTGCCACTCTCCCCCAAATATAGTTTTAGACATAGCTTCATTTATGTTCAGAGTGAAAGAAAAGTACCACCGAAGAGTCCTATAGATTTATTTTAACTGAAAGGGATCATATCTGAAAAATTGTACTTGCCTGCAATCTACCAATGGCCACGAGGCAAAACTTGCTACCTTGGCCAGCCTCTGGGTCATCATCTGGAAGGGAGACACCTTGAGGAGGGTGGGTGAAGATAAAAGTTTAACAAACTCAAATGCCTTTAAGAGTCAGAGAGGTAAAGATTTAATACGCATGTAGGGAGGAAGAGGCTAGGAATCAAATGATGCGTGACAGGAATAAAAAGGAAACAACAACATTGAATTTTATATGCCACTACTGTTGCCACAACCAAGCAGTGCTCAGGCAGCTCAGTGGGCGGGGACTGGACCCAGGTTTCCTGAACAAAGTGTGCTCCGCACTCAGTCTTGTTGAGATCTTGCTCCAGCCCAGCCCAGCCCAGCCAAGCAGAGTTTTAGGAATTCTGTGCAGACCCATTCACATATTTTTATCCATGTTAATAGACTGCAGAGTGTAGATTTCACCCAAAGCATTCTACAACAACCCTGGCCAGGGCTAGAAAGACAGCACAAGGGTTAAAGGACTTGCTGTGCTCGCGGCTAACCCTGGTTTGATCGCCATATGTGGTCCACCAAGCAGAGTCAGGAATAGTCCCTGAGCATCACTGGCTGAGGCCCAAAAACCAAAACCAAACGCACAAAACACACGAAACAGTGCCGGCCAAATCAAACACACATGAAGGCAGTAATTCATTCTGCGACCAAATCACAGGCAGAGAACAGATGTCTTGCCCAATCTGTTACTTTTAAGTTTTCAAATTAAAAACTTTTTTTTTTTGGGCCATTGGACCATACTTGTTGGTGCTCAGGGACACATGCAGCTCCAGCATCAGCCCCAGGCCTCAGCATGTAAGTGCTCGAGCCCACTAAGCCCCCCGGCACCCAAACTATTACTTTTTAATAAGCCAAAAACTAAGTTAAATATACACCAATATTTATGTTTTTCAATTGAGAGAAATTAGTGTTTCAATGCAAAGGAAAGCTAGATTTTCTCTAGTTTTGTTTATCTTTTTACCCAGAAATTCATTAGTAGCTACACATAAGTGTAAAAGACAATCTATAACTCAAATATATGGCCTAAACAGTGCAACAAACTAAAAAGGTCAAATGACATTAAAAATCTTTATTAATCACATTTACTACCAGTTTCCAGTACTTTTCTTACAACAAATCTGATTTTCACTACATATGTAATATACTATTTCCAAACTACACATAAGAAAAGATTTTTTGTTACACAACTTCCCTTAATTTAAGCCTCTAGTTCTGGGGCCCAGTTTGTGACAGTTACACACAGCAGTGCCCTGGTATGTCTTTACAGTCATTTCTTGCACAAGCTGCTCCAAGGAGACTTTGGAAACAGCCCTTTGCAGAGGACACTCTTATCTGTTCTCATGCTATCCCTAATCTTAGGCTCCAAACAGGATGTGGGGTGCCTCTGGAGGTCTCAGGGCACAGTGACCAGTATCCACTTTAGCTAAGTCATCACGTCCATCTGCATCAAACTGCAAATGAATGGGTACGTGGGTGATGAAGCTCTCTATTGGGCCAAGTTTCAAGTCCCCCAGCTGCAAGAAGAGCTGCATCTCAGGGGGAATGGCCTTACCAAGTTCAACGCAGATGAGCCTGAAGACTCAGTGTCTGGAAAGAGGCCATCCCACATGCCGGTGATATAGATAAATAGATCCCTAGTCATGGACGTCTGAACCAACAGGGGGCCCTGCAATTCCTGAGTTACCCCCTGAGTACCTGCTTCCCAACCCCCTTCCCTACACCCTCGAGACCATACATACAATTACTAAATAACAGTGTCAGAAAACCCAAGGTTTTTCTAATCCAAAATCTAATCTCTTATCAAAAGGCACTACTTGTCTTCTGTTCTCTCACTCTGTATCTCCCTATAATCCCTAATTCCCCAATCATACATATCCAGCAGATAAATAAAAGTTGGAAATTCTGACAAGCCTCTGTATTTGTTTTTTCTCCACCCCTCCCAGCCTAGTAAGCCAATTTAAAAGGGTGTAGAGGTTAGAGCACCACTGTGGGTAGGGCGTTGCCTTATAGGCTCCCGACCTGGGTTCAATCCCCAGCATCCCCTAGGGTCCCCTGAGCACCTTCAGGAATGATTCCTGAGAGCAGAAATAACTCCTGAGCATCATCGGGTGTGACCTAAAATGCCAAAAAAGAAAAAAAAAGGGGGGGGGATCCTTGTACTCCAACCACATCTTTCACATTCCTTTGATATAAAGCTAACCTACTCACTCTTTGATTTAAACCCTTTGCAGAGAGTATCCCTGGAGAATAGCGAATTCCAGGCCAAGGCAACCTGAAAAACATTCATATAAATACTGGTTCTAGGGGCTGGAGTGGGTAGGGCATTTGCCTTGTATGCGACCGACCTGGGTTCGATACCCAGCATCCCATATGGTCCCCTGAGCACTGCCAGGGGTAATTCCTGAGTGCAGAGCCAGGAGTGACCCCTTTGCATCACCGGGTGTGACCCAAAAAGGAAAAAAAAAAACCCACTGGTCCCAAAAGCCATTCAAGGTTCTTTCCACGCTCTGGAGAATGTTCTTTCAGACTCGTGTTCTCTCTTCAGTGCATTACTCTTCCTTTTTCTCACCACTCACCACTCTCCTCCCCTTCCTCAGAACTATAAAATCTTTTACCAAAAAAAAAAGAAGAAGAAAAAAGAAAAGAAATTCCTACGATCAAGACACTTCCTGATTGATTCTTCTCAAACTTACTCCTACCTTAGATGCACTTCCCAGATGAGTGAAATCTGAGGTGAACTAGAGCAGAATTTGATGTCGCCTATTTCAATGCACACAAATACTTGGGGTTAGGTATTTAGTAAGTATTATTTACTATGATTTTACAACTTATAAGCTCTTTTGTGACATAATCACTGTGGAGTCCGTTTCAAGTTTGAATACTCCATGTCCCCACATGCTATATACAAGCTGTATATTTCTGTCTATTTCTACCCATTTCTTACTATTCATACTAAACACACCTAAATATACCCGATAGCAAATAAATCTTTGCTAACTTTTTAAACCTCTAAAGACCCGGAGAATAAAGGCACCAAAGAAGAAATCAATGGTTCTTCAACTTTCTTACCTGCTGGCGGCCAGGCCTTGATGTAGCCTGTGCAGTGGACCACCACAAAATGAGGCTCCCCCTCCTTCACAGAGCCAAGCCCATTCCTACAAGAAGAACAGGTGTGAGGAGAAAACCCTAACCTGCTAGAGGACAAGGACAATGCCACCTGATTAAACTCGGGTACTGGGATGTTTAGAAACACATTTACTAGGTCTTCAGCTTTCCCCACCCACAAGAGATCACCATGATTTTGACACTTACCCAAGTAAAGCAACTGATATATCAGCAGGGATAAGATAGGTTAAGTGGGAGGAAAACTTCTTGAAGTGGGATGAGCAGCAGAGAAAGAAAAAAGGAACTGGGAGGTCACAGAATGTGGGTGAGGCTGCTGCAGGAAGCATCTAAGGCAGAGCGGACAGGGCTCCTGTGCACGGTACCTGGCCACTGTGGGGTTTTTTCCTAGTGCTAGGGAATCTTACCTGCATCTGTTCCTCACAAAGCTCAGTCTGTTCACGGAGATGGGGTCCACAGAGCTATTGCCACACCTGTTTCAATGAATCAATAAAGATTAAAAGCAATTAAACAACAAACTTTGCCTCCATAAAGGCCACTGACAGGCTCTGACTACATATAGACACAGACCATAAACAGGAAGAATAATGAAGTCATCTTCGGTATTTCTAGACACGGTCTACAAACAGAAATTAAGAAGTTCAACATGCCCTTCAAGTGCACAGATTCCTGTATTCCTTTCCTATGAAGAACCAGAGATAAATTTTTTATTGTTGTTTTGGGCTACACCCAAGAACGTCAAGCCACCCAAGGGCAACCCTGGGCTCAGTGCTGGGGATCACTACCGCTGTGTTCAGGGGTGCTCGTTCAGCCTCCAGCATACATTCACACCAGCCCTTGGGGCTCACTTCGTAGCCCCTCCAGGTAGTAAACATTTTCAGCTTCCTAGACCACACGTTTGGTGCAACTGGTCAACAATGCTATTAGGCACTGAAGCAGCCAAAGACAACAGCCGGGAGTGGCAGTATTCCAGTAAAGCTAGAGGCCAAGAGTCATGTTTTCTTGCTCCTCAACTCATCTGCTACATTTCATTATTTATCTTGCTCCTACCAATGTCTCCGCATTAGCTCTATTCGCGTACTAGGACATTCCCTCCTAGAATATGGACACCTCCTATTTTCCCATTCTTTTTTTTAACATAAAATTTGTATGATATTTAATATTATGCACTTCCTCAATATTTTTACATAGATTTATTCTTCTAAATCTCAAAGTAACTTTGGTAATTAATGTAACTCTTGAATTTCTTATTTGAAATACAATTTAACTTTTTAATGTATTTTTAAAATTAATGTAGTCTATTTTATCTGTTCATTATCTCAGAATATAGTAATATAGTCAGTTAGCAAATCCAGCAGCCTGGATGTAGAAGTTATCACTAAACCAACATAACACACAATTTTGTAATTTCCCCAGGAAATTTTCAATATCCTATTCATTATTTCTAATTAGCATCTTCTAACTGCAAAGCTATTTTCATTATATGTGTTTATGGCTTTATGACTTTAAGAGATGTTCTTTCTATCCGTGTAAGATATTTTAGAATCCTAAACTGTATAGCATATAATTCATACACTAAAATTTTTAAAAAGTACAATAAATTTCTACCCCCCCAAAATGTAGAAATAGTCTAAGTACATGGAAGTTGTCTCATGATGTAATGGGAAAAAAATAAATCTTGGAGTCAAAATGCTATGATTTATAGCAAAATCTTCTATCAGACATTATCAATTAATTCCTGATATTTATATGTTTTGGGACCACACCCAAAAACTCAGGGGTTACTCCTAGCTCTGCATCAGGAATTTACTCCTGGTGGTGCAGAGAGGGTGAAGGCAATACAGGATACTATCCACTGAACTACTGTTCCAGCCTTCTGATAAGCTAATTTCTTTAAGTATGCTTTTAAACTATGAAGTTCTAGGAAATGTTATCAGACATAGAGTACCTATTCGAATCCTGTGGCATAGAAGGATTTTAGTTAATATTATTTCTCTTATCAAACAGTTTTCTGAATTATAACCCACATGGGTCTTGAGAGTTAAGTTTAACCCAAATGAAGTTCAGATTCAAGTTTAATTCCTCTGACCAGAAGTCAGAAGCCTCAGGGCTGAAGCGCTAGTAGAGTGGGTAGGACATTTGTCTTGCACGAAGCCAACTAGGGTTCGATCCCCAGCATCCCATATAGTTCCCTGAGCACTGCCAGGAGTGATCCCTGAGATAAGAGTAAGCCCTGAGCACTGCCAGTGTGGCCCCAAAAATAAAAAAAGAGAGTAACCCTCAACTCTTAATACTTTCTACATCAAATCACTATCCCCAACCTGACACTCACCTCATTCGGCAAATGAAGGACCTCCGTGAGCCCATGCACATCCTCATGGAAGACTGCTGACCTTCCTTTTTCACTGTTCCGGTCTTCAGATCAAGGATACGCCCTGAAGGGGGTGAAGAGCAGTCTGGATCAATCTTGTGGGGAGGGAATGGGGGAAGATACTGGAGGAAATGAGTATCCTATACATGCTGCAATTTTTTTAAACCTAAAATACATAACTTGCCATCAATTTTACTAAGTTCAAAGGCAGCATTGTAAACTGCCTTGCACAAGAAAACATAGGTGCAGAAAGTAGAATCAGCATTATTTTTACACACACTGTCATGATTCTAACAAAACAAAAACTTCTCTGTTGTAGAAACCACATATCTGGGGGCTGGAGACAGTACAGCATGCCAGGGCACTTGCCTTGCACTCGACCGACCCAGGTTCAATCCCCAGTACCCCATACGGTTCACAAGGAGTGATCCTGAGTACAGCGGCCTGAGCAATGAGCAGTGCTGGGTATGGCCCCCCCAAAAAAAAAATAAGAAAAGGGAGAGGGCGAAGAAACACACAACTGTCTCAAGTCAAAGGACTTTTTTCCACTTTAGAAAATGACTAGAAATAAACTAGGAAATTAACAAGAAAATGTGAACCAAACTAGAAAATGAAATCCACTAAAATGCAGGAGGGAGAGGCCTCCGTGTGCTGGAGCACATTTCACATGATGGAAGCACAAGTCTGATCTCTAGGAGTCCCGAGGAGCAACCCTGCACCAAGCACTGCTGGATGTGGCCCCAAACCCAAACGAAATACGTGAGAGAGGGTAGTGCAATGAGATGTCCAAGAGGCTGGCATGCACACTCTGCATGCTGGACCACCATTTCCTGGCACTGAGTCCAGAGTAATCCTGGGCTTATGGACCAAAAACAGGAAACAAAACAAAACATAATGGGTAGAGAACTAAATATAAACAATGAAAGATCATAATGGACTTTCTTGCATTTCACTCTAGGAAGCAAGTTTTTATTAAAAATGTTCTTTTTGGAAGGAGGCCACACCTGGGCTGCTTCAAGCAGGGCTCCCACAGCAAAGCACGGGCCAGGTCCCCATTGTCTCCACAGCCCTTAACTACCAGTTTTGATCTGCTTCCACATACACATTTTTCTCAGAGTTACTTGGCAGCAGATAAAACTTGTTTCCATTAGCCAAACTCTGGCAAAAGGACTTAAGAGTACTTTTATTGTAAATTTTTTTAAATTTAACTTTTTGTTGTTGAATCGCTGTGAGAGACCCTTACAAAGCTATTTGTGATTGGATTTCGGTCATACGTTTTCCAACACCTGTCCCCCCACCACTGCACATTTCCCAGCACAGGGTCCCCGGGCTCCTTCCCGTCACCCCCCAGCCCCCAGTCTGCCTCCATGGCAGGCTATCTTCCTCTCCCTCTCCCCCTCCCTCACCCTTTCCTTCTCCCTCTCCCGTACTTTTAATGTAAGTATTTTACTTATATTTATATGAAGATAAAAGCAAACTTCTATACAAACACTGTCACTAATGAAACTTTTTTTCCTTCTTCTTCCCAATGCTTAAGATGAAAACCCAGGCCTCAAATACACCAGGTGAGTGCCCTACGGCTGACCTGGCCAATAAAATACTTCTAAGGAAAAACTCCAATTTAAAGAACTAAGGAGGTATCGTGCCACCAGCAGGTCAATCTGTACCTGTGAGGCAAGTGTATCAGCAGCCTCATGGCACCTTCAGACTTCCAGATACCCCAAAATTGCTACTGTGCCTTTGGCCAGACCCCAAAAACTTGGGGCAAAGTTTACCAAGAAAGTAAACGACCAAAAGTTAGGTATGTGGGAGACACACCCACAAACCACCTCCGGCTCAGCTATCCAGTTGGAGCCATGGCCTCTCTGGTTCCTGATCGAACTGGCCATAATCCCGGAGACTCAGAAACAAATCTCGAAACCCAACAGCTTTTGGCAGAAATGCATCTGGTCCCTGCAGTAGGCTACCGGTGCTGGGCCACCCCAGGTGGGAATAGGTTTTGTGCCTTGGCCTGTTCCCCCTGGTGGCCCGGTGGCCGTCATCCTCCAGAGGTCACTGGACAGTCAGGTTTGGGCCCACAGTGACAGACACATGGGGCCTCATGGGATGGGGGTGGAGCTGGGCTTGTCCTCCCCACCCCAACGAGACCCCAAGTCATCACCCACGAATGGCCTCTCTGGCTCCTGATCAAGCTGCTTAACGGCCATGAGCCCAGGGACTCCGAAACAAATCTCAAAACCCAACGGCTTTTGGCAGAAATGCATCTGGACCACGCAGTAGGTTACTGTCACCGGGCCACCCCAGGGGGGAAAGGGTGCTGTCCCTCTGCCTGCTCCCCCTTGGCGGCCCGGTGGCCACCATCTTCCAGAGGCCACTGGACAGTGAGGTTTGGGCCCGCAGTGATGAGACATACAGGGCCTCACGGAACAGGGGTGGAAGCAGCCCTTTCCTCCCCGCCCCAAGGAGACCCTGAGTTGCCGCCCACAAACGGCCTCTCTGGCTCCTGATCAAGCTGCTTAATGGCCATGATCCCAGAGACTGAGAAACAAATCTCAAAACCCAACGGCTTTTGGCGGAAATGCATGTGGGCTACGCAGTAGGTTACTGTCACCGGGCCACCCCAGGGGAGAAAGGGCGCTATCCCTCCGCCTGCTCCCCCTTGGCGGCCTGGTGGCCACCATCTTTCAGAGGCCACTGGACAGTGAGATTTGGGCCCACAGTGACAAGACACGCGGGAACTCATGGGATGGGGTGGAGCCGGCCCTTTCCTCCCCACCCCAACAAGACTGCGAGTCACTGCCGATGAACGACCTCTCTGGCTCCTGATCAAGCTGCTTAATGGCCATGATCCCAGAGACTCGGGAACAGACCTTGGAACCTAGCAGGTTTTGGCAGGAAATCTCTCCAGATTTAATTGTTAAAATTTCAGAATTTCAAAACTGCGCTGCCACAACTGCAACTGCGTGACATCATATGTTATTCATGACCAGCAATAGAAAACAAATTGTCTACTGTTGCCTTTTTGGCGGATCTGAGTGTTGGGGTAAAATCCCAAATAATAATGGTTCGTGTGGTGTCGAAATGTTGAATGTGATCAAAGTAGAGAGAGAGTGATTTGGAAATCATCTGCCCCACAGGTAAGGGGAGGGTGTGGGATGGGCGTATACTGGGGGTTTTGGTGGTGGAGAATGGGCACTGGTGAAGGGACGGGTGTTTCATTGTATGACCGAGACTTATAACCTGAAAGCTTTGTAACTACTCTCACGGTGCTCAATAAATAAAATTATAAAAAAAAATGGGGAAAAAAGAAAAGTAAGGTGGAGTTCATGCAAAATTCAATCAGCCTAATCAGTGGCTGACTAAATAGCAGTACTCCTACATAAAAATAAGTAAATAAATAAAGAGCTAAAATACTTTTTGTTTACTTCAGGGAAAAGGATAAAACCAAAGCAGGCTATTCTTATTTATCTCTTACCATAAAATCCATACCTGTCAGGGCATTTTCCGAAGTGGAAAGCTGTTCACGAAGTTTGTCCACGTCATCCGGGTGCACCTGATCATAGAGTGTGCTGCCAAACCACTCAGACTGTGGCTGGTTCAAGACAGGGGTGACGGAATCAGAGACATAAACAACCCTCCCTGTCTCACATGAAACAATAAACAAAAAGCCATCTGCTGCCTCCAGGATCAAATGTTTCAGTTCCTGTCCAAGGAAAGGAAACAGAAGTTTAATGCTGAACTCTCCGAAATCAACTGTATTATTCACGAAAAGGCAGATGGTGCTGGAGGCCATGAATATAGGTCCTTAGGGAGCTGCTGGTTCCTGCCTGATCCGTGGCTCTCCGTACTGAACAAAGTGGCCTTCAATGACAAGATCATTCTGTCATAAACTTTTCCTGTCTCTTCTTTATCTCTCCTCCTCCTCTTTATCTCAAGACAAAGCTGAAAAGACCACTAACGGGCTGGAACAATAGCACAGCAGGCAGGGCATCTACCTTGCACATGGCCAACCTGGGTTGGATTCCCAGCATCCCGTATGGTCCCCAGAGCACCGCCAGGGGCAATTCCTGAGTGCAGAGCCAGGAGGAACTCTGGGGCATTGCGAGGTGCGACCCAAAAAGGGTAAAAAAAAAAAAAAAAAAGGCCAGACCACTAACGACAAAGTTCTTGACCAATCCATCTAGTTTCTTTTTAGAACTCATTCTTAAGTATTTTCTCTCTTCTTTTTGCGGAGGGAGGAGGATGGGGGCAGAACTGTGAGGGTGCTGAATACGCACCAGTACTCAGGGGCCATACCAGCCAGTGCTCGGGGGACCAAAATACAGCGCCAGGATTTGAACCAGGGTTACAGCCACAAACGCGACAAGTGCCTTACCCTTATACTATCTCTCAGGCCCCTATTTTCACTTTCTTTCACTAGCAACATGTCAGATTTTCTCAAATATGGATTAATCTTCCTCAACCTAATTCTTACGTTTTTCCTTGCCAAGCTTATATTAAGAGCAGTATTATATTAATTGGTTCTATTCTCTTACAGAATTTCTCAACTCCACTGCAGTCTTCACTCAAAACTACTATAATGTAGAAATTAAGTTTCAAACTGACAGCTCAAGCTACCTCTCTTAGATCTACATAACTTGGGGCCAGCGAGATAGCACGGTGGGTAGGGCATTTGCCTTGCACATGCCCGACCTAGGTTCGATCCCTGACATCCCGTATGGTCCCCCAGCACTTGCAGGTGTGATTCCTGACAGCAGAGCCTGGAATAACCCCCGAGCATTGCTGGGTGTGATCCAAAAAGCCACATTAAAAAAAGATCTACATAGCTTGACTGAGGCCCTCTGTAGAATCTGATAGAGCTGCTCCTCCCCAAATTCCCGTGACCACTCTCTTTCCGCTCACTTTCTCAACATCCTTTTTACACGTCAGGTTCCCTCTTTCGGTGTCATCATTTGCGAGGTTTTAGCCCTAAGTTCTTTTTTTCCACTCATATTCTGTTCTTTCTGATAAATATCCATTCCTCCCTACTATGAAATGAAACCCACCTACCCCCCTACATTTGCCTAACTTTCTTAAAAGGGGGAAGGGAACAGAGCAGGAAAGCCCAGTGGGGTAGGTAGTCAGGGATTTGTGAAATTTCCCCAGCCCTGAAGTTTTACTGTAAAAAGTATTTCTCTCTATGCATTTTCCCATTCGCTTTTCTTTTTTTCCTTTTTGCTTTTTGGGTCAGACCCAACAATGCTCAGGGGTTACTCCTGGCTCTGCACTCAGGAATTACTCCTGGCAGTGCTGGGGAGACCATACAGGATGCTGGGAATCGAACTCGGGGTGGCCACGTGCAAGGCAAACGCCCTACCCGCTGTACTATCGCTCCGGCCCCCCAACAGCTTTTATTTAGATACCTTCCCTTTATACACATTCCTACTTAGGCTGACTTCTTAAAAGGTTGAAAATAAGTTTTGCTCTCACTATTTTTCTTATCATACATCAAATAATATTCCACATCCAACAACTGCTAGTCAGTCTTCTTTTACCTCTAGAATTGGAAGGTATTTCAAGAAATGGATTTTTATTTCTTGTCTCCTCTTCTGATGTCTGCTCTCATAGCCCTGTGTGTTTTATTGATAGTCTGTTCCAATGTTTCTTTGAACTCATCAAATGCCCTCAACATTTCCTCTCTACAAGTCCTCATCAGAGAGCTTATCCTGCTCCTTATTACTGGGTGAGTCGTCAGGGCTTCTCCACTTACTTACAAGCTTTCCGTGTGGTTTTTGCAGTCTGGAGGTGGGTCTTTTCAATTCACCTTCGCACCACCCCGACTGCCTGTGAGCTCTCTGGGGGAACCAGCTGGGTGTTGCTCTTTTCCCCCAGTCAAAGCTGTATCAACCAGATTTTTTGTTTCAAACTAATTGTGTAAATTTTCACATGCTGGCTCCAGGAAGGCTTTTGGTGTCTTTTGCCCTGCCACCATTCCAGCTGTAATTTAATTCTTATTATCACAACTAGGGTTTTTGTTGTTGTTGTTGTTTTGCTTTTTGGGTCACACCCGGCAATGCACGAGGGTTACTCCTGGCAGTGCTCCGGGGATTGTATGGAATGCTGGGAATCAAACCCGGCTCGGCCGCGTGCAAGGTAGACGCCCTACTCGCTGTGCTGTTACTCCAGCCCCCACAACTAGTATCGTGTGTTACTGACAGGATAGGCGACTAGAGTTAGGAAGTTATGTGTGCTCCCTATGATATATGAAGTATCCCGAGTGTCTCTTCCTAGCAAGATTCCAACTCGATGCTGAGTTCATGGGACTATGAGAGTGTGAGGTCCTTCGCAGGGGTCCTGTCCTGGGGAAGAAAATCTCCTTTCCTCTTCTGGAACCCTAAAGTCAACAAATGGGGCTATTTTCATGGCTACAATCATCTCTCCAGTGATTCCACTCTTCCTGACCATGTACAACTATTCCTGGGACGTGCTAAGGTACATGTAAGCATATATATGCATAAATACACACACACACACACACGTTCCTAAAACACGTATAAATACCTTTAACTATAAATTAGCTCCACAAGTCTTTTCTGTTTCTGTTCTAATTCTGGTAAATGTTATGGCCAAAGATCAAAATTTATTTTCCCACCGCCTGAGAATTTCTGTGGAAGTTGAAATCTAGACTCAGTTCCAGGGTCTTCAATATAATGCGTACTCGGGATCATGGTTCTCTACCCCCAATAGTAAGAATGTTCAATAAATTCCAGACTGCCTCAGAGCTGTGCACGCCAGAGACCTGATCAGTGAGGAAAGATGGCTTATAGGTGCCATCGGTGGATGTGTTGCCAGTTCCTCGCAAGGACTTCATGTGGGAAACTGCCATGCGTAAGATGGTCAGCTTGTCTGGTTTGCGAGCCAGGGCACTGCAGGTGGGCACCATGTCTGACAGTTCTGTGATGTAGGCTGTCATCTTATTCCGTCGCCGGCGTTCAATCTCACTATGATTTTCCCTGCATGGAAAAAGAGGAAAAGCCCCATCCAGGTGGTCACATCTGGCTGTTTGGGAACAGGAAGAGGAACATGGATGCCAATGGAGGTGCTGGAAGAACCGTCATATGAAGGCTTAAGGACACAAGTCTCGGAAATTAGAGTAGGTTACCAAGCTTCTCATGCAGAGCAAGCACAAAGTAGAAATTCAAAAGGCAGAATGAGAACAAGCCAATTCCAGATACTCCCTGTATTTCCTAGAAACTACTTCCTATGCACATTATCACTTCCTTAGAACAACAACAACCAAAAATGTATTGTGAAATCACTGTATCACTATCATCCCGTTGATCGTCGAATTACTCGAGTGGGCACCAGTAACGTCTCTATTCCTCCCAGTCCTGAGATTTTAGCAACCTCTTCTTACTCATCTTTTCCCAGCAATTGAAGGCTCTTTTAGGGTCAGGGAAATGAGACCTGTTGTCATTACTGTATTTGGTATATCGAATACGCCATGGGGAGTTTGCCAGGCTTTGCCCGTGCAGGCAGGACATTCTCGGTAGCTCGTCGGGCTCTCCGAGAGGCACATATTTATATATTTTTCGCTATGATTTTTTACATATCAGAAATGTTGTGAAATGAGTCTTGTAATATGTTAATTTGGGGAATCAAAGCCAGGTACTAGGCCCTCAGTACTGCCAGGTATTGCCCAATACACACACAGATGCACACGAGAACACACACACACACACACACACACACACACGCACGCACGCACGCACGCACACACACCCTTTCAGAAGGCGGGAAGGTGGCTTAGTGCAAAAGCACTTACCTGAACAGCTCCATGCTAGAAGTTCAAAGCCTGATGCCACCAGCCTACCAACATGCACCAAGCAACCCTGAAGGCTCTGCTTGTACGGAGACCCCTGGCCAAAAAGGGCCCAGAAGATGGTTTAGTCGCTTAAAAAGTACTGAAGGCAAGCATGAAGCCTTGAGCTTAAGTCACCTGGTGCAGTGATCCTGACAACCACATGTTTTATGATCTCCAGCAAAGGTCAAAAACCAACTCTGTTCACTAAAATTACTAAGAAACAATCTGGCTGATTCCTTCTTTACTAATTCAACTTTTTAAAAGGTAAAAAATATAAAATGAGCAATGTTTAATTCTAACACAAATTGCCCAATAGTTGATACAAGAATTGGAAGCATAAATTTCCTTGCATACTATATTGTCAGGTCTTCGCTTCTTTTGGATTCTAAACACGGGAAGGCCGAAATGGAAGGCGTAAGAGTCTCATTTGTCTCCTCCTTGCACAGTCATACCTTTTCTGTGTGGGTGTGTCAGTAAAGTGAGGCACAGAGTATCCTTGACCAAAGATCCCTTATGGGCACGCAGTTTGGAACAAAGTGAGTCACATCCCTTCAATAATGACACCCTCAAAAGTCAAGATTGAGTAGTATCAGTTTTTAAAAAATAATAATCTAGGGGGCAGGAGGTCTGCATGTCCAGCCTTCAGTCAATCTAGGTTTTATTCTTGGCACATGTCCCCCAAGCACTGCAAGGTACAGCACTAAATGCCACCAAGAATACCAGAGTGTGACCCTAGAGGCACCAAGCAGGGTCTGGGTATGCCTGGACCACAGGACCCGAGCAGCATTGCCTTCTCAGACCCTCGCACTGAACCACCAGCACAGTTAGCCAAGGCTGGCCAAAAATCACCAATAGGTTCCCAGGCCTCCTTGGCGCCACCTGGGAGGCTCCCCACCAAAATCAAAATAGCAGTAATACTCTAGTAGCTTTTGGATTTTTGAAAAGTCCAACGGATCCGCACTGGGCTGCTTCGAGGAGTGACTAAACAACATGTTACATTTCTGTTTCTACTTCAGTTTTAATTTTCTTTGCGTATCACTTAAGGATCCTATTTGAACAAAAGTTTTCCGTCAGAATAAAAAGAATAAAACCAAATCTTTTTTCTGAGAAGTTAGTGGGAGGCTGGCGAGACAGAATAGCAGGTAAGGCACTTGCCTTGACCATGGTCTACCTGGGTTCTATCCCTGGTCCCCCAAGCCCTGCCAGGAGTAATCCCTGAGTTCAGAGCCAGGAGCAAGCCCTGAACAGAGCCTGGTAATAAAACAAAATAGTGGGGCAAGAGCAATAGCACAGCAGGTGGGGCACCTACCTGCCTTGTACAAAACTGACCCATGCCTAATTCTCAGCACCATATATGGTTCCCCAAGTCCTACCAGGAGCGATCCCTGAGTACGGAGGTACGAATAAGCCCAGAACACCGCCAAATGTGACACCCCCTCCACCGCCACCCCCCAAAAAATAAGTTAGTAAGTCCAAGAAATGCCATGAGTGATTCCTGATTACAGAGCCAGGAGTAAGCCCTGAGCACAGACAGGTGTGCTCAAACACAGTTCCCTTCCCCACCTTCCCCTCAGCAAAAATAATGCCCTCAATATGTGTCACAGGCCGCCCTTTCAAACACGGTGGCTCCACTGGGCAGCAGCCTGACTCCCTGGGCGGGCTTCCCTCCTTCAGGACGCCAGAGGCACCCCTTGTACCTCCAACAGTCCGCTGGTGGGTGAGCTGGAGTCTACATTCAAGGCCTGCCTTGCTTCCCTTTGAGCCAGGACTATGTGAGCGGCACCGATCAGGAAGAAATTCGAACAGGTGTGGATCGGTGTATGCAGAAGTTCTTGGCTATCGCCAGGCAGACAGAGTGTGTCTTCCTGCAGGAGAGGTCGCAGCTCTCTGTGCAGAAACCGGAGCAGGTCATCCAAGAGGACGCGTCAGAGCTGAGGAACGAGCTGCAGCGGAAGAACGCTCTGGTGCAGAAGCACCTCAGCAAGACGCGGCACGGCAGCAGGGGCTAGAGGTGGTGGGCGTCCGGCAGCAGCAGCCCCCGACACCCGCAGGGCTCCCTGGTCCACCTGAGCAGGCATCGGCCAACACCCCCGCGCCCATGAAGCCGAGCTGACAGCCCTCCCCGCTGCTCCACGCTCTTCTCTTACGGTTCTGTAGAAAATGGCTTCAGCATTGGCAAACCAAGTGCGGGCACCACCCGTTATTTGCGTTTGTTCTCTAGCCAAGTACCATGTTAGTTTGGGCCGGGGTGGGGGGGTCATTTTTATGTGCCCTGTCACATTTCCCTGTTTCTAGTCGGCATGTAGCCTGCCTGAGGCGCCCTGTGAATCGGGCTGAGGGGCTGCTTGTCCAGCCCCTTTCTCAGGCCCCTTTCTCGGCCTTTCTTGGGCACCTCTGCAGCGGGGTGGGAATAGGAGCGTTGCTTGTGCCGCACCCTGGGACTTCTACCTCGAGAAGGAAGAATCTAACGGTGGCGCGTCTGCCGTTCAGTGTCACAGTGGGTCCTTGGCGGGCGCTCCCCTCCCTGGGGCCTTTGTGTCTCTGTCGCGTTGCTTTCCTCCTTCCGTCTGGCTGCGCACAGTCTAGAAGCCGCCACCTGCCCGGCAGCACTGGCTGTGGGCCTGTGTGTTGTGCTGGCTTGTTTTGCTGTGTTAAGTACGATTCTTGCTAATGGGGTGGGGGCCCCTCACGACAGACCTCCACAGAGCACGTAGGGCCCAGCTCGGGGCGGGTCATCTGCCCTGTGGCCACCCGAAATGCGGGGTCTGGCTCTCCTCGGATGAGGTCTTCCTCGCTCACCGTCTCGTCTCCTGGGTTTCAGCTTGGTGCCCACACGTGAGCCCCAGCGTGGTTTTGGGGTGCCTGCTTTGTCTGCCCCCACCCTGACCGCCCTCCCTGCACTCAACCACCCCTCAGGACACAGGCGCCCCGTCTCTCCTGCCAGCCTTGCTCGGGTCTCCCCTGGGGTCGTGAGCTGCCTCTACGTGGCTCACAGGCATGGCTCGGGGGGCCTCAACCCTGCCCTCTCGGGCGGACGTAGAGAGACATCCAGGGGCGCCACAGATCCCCCTCTGCCTGGAGGGTCTGCGTGTTTACCTTTTACCCGTAGGCACTGTTTCTGTTCGTACGTATGTGTGTATGGCATATTGTTTGTGGACAACGAATGCCATCAGATTGTGTGTTCCAAGCGTTTAAAACTGTTTTTAGTCACACACTTTCAAGGTTTAACCGTTTTCGATTTCTGCACTAAACCCTACATCAACTGATTTGAGGCACTCTCTCAATAATAAAGGATTTGTCAACAACAACAATAAAAATATGGGCCACAGAAATAGTACTGCAGGTAAGGTGTCTGCCTTTACACAGCGGAGCCAGGTTTAATTTCCACCGCTACATATGATTCTCAGAGTCCCTCCAGGAGTGACCCAGGAACGAGCAAGCCCTGAGCACAGCTGAGTGCATTTATTTACTTAAATAATAATTTTCTTTAAGTAAATAAAAAGTAGTTGGTAAGCGACTTCTCCAAGCTTTGTGAAGCGTGAAAGAGTACAAGGCATGAGATGAGACAGACAGCAGGAAAGCTGGGGACCCCCCTGAAAAGATGATGAGAGAAAAGACAGGCTGGACTGCAAAAGCAATGTGGGCTACAATGACTGAAACCCAATCAGGAACAACTTTGTAACTGTGAATCTCATGGCGATTTAATAAAAACTAAAATAAAAAACTTTTTTTACAAAAGCAATGGTCGTATCAACGATCCCATGATCGTTCCAAGTCACAGAGACCAAAAGGAAAAAAAAAAAACTGGTGCCTGACAGTTCGTGTTTAGTATTCCTACATTACAGGAGAACTCAGGAGCAGGTCAACGCAGTCTGCAGAAAGTTCCTGCCAGCCCATGAAAATATATTATCGCTTAGCACACAGTACACACGGGTGATGTAGCAACGCTAGTAGAGATGCTGACAGATAAATACGCTTTTTACAAATAATGGGTTTTGTGCCTGACTGTTTTTCCTAGTTTCACCAGTCTGCAAGCGTGAAAAGTTGAAAACTATTGCTTTAAAGCCAAGCTTCTTAAACTGTGGGCTGTGACCCCCTGTAGGGTAACTTAACTCAAAGTGAGGTCACCAAGATTGTCAAAAGTCAAAGTTTGTGAACATGGAAGACCAAGAATTAATTCAAATTTAACTGCACCTAAATTTCCAGTGCTCCCAGCAGTGCATGGCTGTGCAGTCAGTGGCCAGTGTTGGAAGGCCTGCTCGAGCCTTCTGTCCAAACGACACAAGGTCATCACCGCATGGCCTACTCTGCTGTAAGATCCCTGCTGCTCAGTCAGCTTCTTAGGGTCAGTCTCCTGACACTACGTCTAGGAGACAAGTTTTCATTAAGGATGCTAAAACTGTGTTTCTTAACCAGGGCCCACCTAGGCCCCCAGGATATTCCACAGGGGGTCACAGTTTAAAACTGCAAATGGCGGCTGGGATGGGGGTGGGAGGTTGTCAGAGCATGAGACTAGAAGAACCAGTGGTAGGAGAGGGCGCCACATGATATAGACAAGGCTGGGAAAGGTTAAAACTGTACTAAAACCACTTTTAAAAAACAGGACCCAGGGGCTGGAATGACAGCACAGCAGGTAGGACATTTGCCTTGCACGTGGCCGATCCGGGTTCAATTCCCAGCATTCCATATGGTCTCCTAAGCATCACCAGTAGTAATTCCTGAGTGCAGAGCCAGGAGTTACCCCTGTGCACCGCCAAGTATGATCCAGAAAGGGGGAAAAAAAGAAAGACCACGGGCTGGAGCAATAGGACAACAGGTAGGGCATTTGCCTTGCACGTGGCCAATCCGGGTTCAATTCCCAGAATTCCGTAGGATGCCCCGAGCACCGTCAGGAGTATTCCTGAGTGCAGAGCCAGGAGTAACCCCTAAGCATCGCCAGGAGTGACCCAAAAGACAAAAAAGAAAGAAAAAACAAACAATACCAGGACACGAGAGACAGGACAATGGGTAAGATGCCTGCCCTACATGACCCGCCAACACAGGTTCAATCCTCAGTATCCCATATGGTCCCCGGAGCACCACCTGGAAGGAGTCCTGAGTGCAGAGCCAGGAGTTAACCCTGAGCACTGCCGGGTGTGGTCCAAAAAAACAAAAACAAAAACAAACAGAATAAAACAGCACAAGACTGTTTAAGGGATTAATGTAGCAGGGAGGGCACTTGCCTTGCACACAGCCAACCCAGGTTTGATCTCCAGCATCCCATATGGTTCCCCGGGCCCGCCCCACCAGGAGTGAAGTGATTTCTGAATGCAGAGCCAGGAGTAATCTCTGAGTATTGCTGAGTGTGGCCACAGAACAGACTAAACAAACAAATAAATAAATAAACAAATGCAAGACCCAATCACCAAGTGCTCGTGTGCTGGAGCAATGCAGCCTAGGAACAAGAGCAGACCTTACAGATGTGCCCTGGGCTGCAAGGGGAGGCCAGGATGACTGCAAAGAGACATGGTTTCTGGCAAGAGAGTGCTTCTGGGCCAGGGTAGGGCCCGGTGGTTAACCAAGTGCCTGGGATGTATGCATCTTAGGTTAAATCTCTGGCAACAGAATGAAAAAGAAACAGTAAAGAAGAAAAGCATCTCTTCCTGCTAAGGCACCAACTGGCACAGGTGAGCTGACCCGAGAAGGTTTCACTCTGAAACCATGCTCTTAAAAAGAGGAACAGAGACAAATTTTAAAGTAATAGCAATTTTTTTAATTCCTAATATTCCCTCAACCTCTCTACTTTCTGGGCAGGGGGGCCAATATATCCATTATATATAAACTTGTAAGCACTACTGCTCTCTATTGCCACCAATAAGCAAAAACATGAAGGGGGAGGAGAATCAGGCGATGGGAAGAAAGAACAGAACAAGCAGCCGCATCCGCTTCACCATGCTACAGGCACGTTCTCCTACCTGGCGAGTCTCTCTTTATCCGCTGAGCTCTGCTCATCATCCGACCTAAAAACAGAATTCATGAACTAAGCTAAAATTAAAATATAAAGAAGGAAGATGGAAGGAGGGAAGGCAGGGAAGAATGGAAAGAGGCGCGGGGGAGAGAAAAAGAAACAGAAGAAAATAGATGCAAAGAAGAGAAGGAAAAATGAACGTAGGAACAGGAATCCTGCCTGTAACACTACAAAGTCATCTGTTAGGAAAAAAGGTAAAGTGACTCACAAAGGTAACATGAAAGAAGTTAACATGATCTGAGCACCATCCTGACAATCAAATCGACAGAGAGACCAAGACGATATAATTTGAACAAGAAACCAAAAAACAAGTAATAACATTCTGACATATTTTCAATATAAAAACTATATTTACATATGCATTTGTAAATTCAAAAAAAATTTAAGAGTAAGTCATGAGACTCTCAAACAAATGACGGCAAATACAATCACAAAGAGAGGCATGCATGCGCTCATCTTAAGACAAAATAATAAGCCAGATTATACTAGAGAAACTACATAAATACCATCAACAGTTAGGCTTCTTCCACAGGTCCCATAACTGCTTTGATACTAAAGTAGCTCATTTCTATTCGGTCACTTTCTCATTTCCCTGCCAGAGGCAAAAGACTACTGGGTTCCCAGTTCCCACTCTCTCTCCCCAGAGGAAGAAGTGAGAGAGGGCAGTGGAGAAGGAGCTTTGGCACCATGCTGATGGTGAATGGAGGTGCACTAACTTTAAAAACCGGGAGCATAAATGTTTATAGTACTGTAACCGGGTTGGCTGAACTGTAATTTAAAAACAAACAAAAAACACACAAGAAATAAGCCCACATAGACTGCCATGACATTTCTCTGGAAACCTGAGGTACTATGTAAAGAGCCAGGACAACTAAAGCTACTTCAAGTTCAGTCAATCACTACCCGATTCCACTGAAACATAGGAACAGATTTTTAAATCTCCATATATCAAAGCATGACACTAATGGGCTGAGAAACTATCAAAATGACAATGGAAGTGGAGGGGTGTTTGGACCATATCTGGCAGTGCTCGGGGTACATTTACTCCTGGCTCTGTGCTTAGGGAATCACTTCTGGCAGTGCTCTGAGGGCAGTAGGTGGTGCCAGGGGTTGAACCGGGTTGACGCATGCAAGGCAAGTGCCTTGACCGCTGTACTATCTCTCTGGCCCCCCAAATGACACATTTTATAAAACCACCATCAGGATAAAAAGAGACAAATAACAGAGCAATAATGAACCACATAAAAATCTACATGTACTAATGAGGACAAAGAACTGAATGATATTAAGAAGCTTAGAATTTTGCTTGCCGGGTTACAAAATTTCTTAAAAATTACAAATGTTCATTTTTCCAAACAACTGGGAACATTCATATATTCACAGCTTCTCAAAACCCTACACTGAATTTCCAAGGTGAATATGTGAGGTGAATCATTTTAACAGATCTTGTATCTTACACTTTGTATCTTAAAGATCTGTTATTAAAAGAAAGTTAAGGTACTAAAATCCCAAATACTACTACTACAGATCCATAATCTCCTAATATTTCTGGGTTGTTTGTGGGTTTGTTTTTTGGGTGGAGGTGACTGGGAGAATCACATACATTGTTGTTCAGATCATGCTGTATGGTGCCAAGAGTCAAACTAGGATCCTCCAGGGGTCAGCCCAGGGTTGGCAACATGCAACTTAACCTGTACTATCTCTTCGTCAATATTTATGAATGAAATCAATAATATATAAATAAGATGCACAAATGAAGACTAAAATAATTTATGTCATATATTTTTAAAATTTCAGTAAAGAGACTGTAATTCTATTAGCTTAAGAAAATGATTCCCCAACATCTATGAATAACATCTCATTTTAATCTTAAAAATTTAAGTGTTGAAAATTTTAAGCTCGGGGGCTGGAGCGATAGCACAGCAGGTAGGGCATTTGCCGTGCACGCAGCTGACCCATGTTCGATTCCCAGCATCCCATATGGTCCCCCGAGCAATGCCAGGAGTAGTTCCTGAGTGCATGAGCCTGCAGTGACCCCTGTGCATCACCAGGTGTGACCCAAAAAGAAAAAAAAATTAAGCTTAGGGTTCAGAGCAATAATACTGCAAGCATGGCACTTGCCTTCCATGTGGACAACCAGGGCTTGATCCCCGGCACCTCATATGATCCCTAGAGGCCACCAGGAGTAATTCCAGAATGCACAGCCAGGGAATAAGCCCTGTGCATCGTCGAGTGTGTCTCCCACCCCATGAATCCCCCCCACCCAAAAAAAGGTGGAGGGAAGTGGGCACTCTGGAGGAGGAAGACGTGCTGCACTATGCTATACATGAAATCCTATCATTAATAATATTGAGAATCAGAGTTCCTAAAATTAAAAGGGGACCCTAAGTGATGCCAGGATTTGGACCCAGGTCAGCAATGTGTAAGGCAAGTTCCTTAACCACTTTACTATTTCTCCCGTTCCCCTTGTTACAAATTTTAACAGAAAGCCATTATACATAAAGATTACATAGGCCCCCATTAATCATACCTGCATCCAAAATTCCCTATCAGTTCTATCTCTATAGACACCCAGCAAATACAGTGAACTATTATCATATATAAAAAAATTTCTGTGTAAAACATATAATTAGTTTGATATCTTATAACAATAACTGAAGTCATATTGCCTATAAATAACAGCATACTTTTCCCCTAGCTTTTGGAATAGGGAAGAGAATGAACAGAAAAATTAACTCTCACTGGGATAAAATTAAAACTCAGAATGCTTGAACTGCCTGGTCCCGCAACACAGAACCACCTTACCTGGCAAACCGCTCTTTATCATTAGACATCTGGTCATCATCACACCTAAAAGAGAAAAGGAAGTGGTGTGAAACATACTTACTAAACCTATTTCACTCTGAAATGGAAACTAGAAAGGGGCAAAAATACTCAACAGGAAAAAAAAAAGGCCAATGAGAGCAGGGAGATGGACAACAGGCTAGAGAGACCATCGTGCCATGAGAGCCCTGGGTTTGCCTGAGGGATCACCTGAGCACTCCTGGGAGTAGCTCCTCAGCACCAAGAGGCAACCCACCACCATCAGAAGGGGGGGAAAGCCAGTGCGAAAGCATTATAAAGTAACAGAAAGAACAGTATTCCACAGAATTTTTCAACCCCATAAGTATGGGCAGGAGAGACAGTAAAGGTTGACAACAGAAGGTTGCCGAGGGTCCCAGGTACAACCCTGGACGCCAAGTGATCCCCAGCACCACAGAGCCTGAGCAGCATTGCAGCCTCAAGCCTCTGCACTTGATGATCTGGTTGGCTGAGAACTGGCTGGAGGGGTCCCCATGTCTCCTGAGCACTGCTCAGGAGATGTCCTCTCTCCAACACACACACACACACATACACACACACACACACACACACACCCCAAAGTCCCCACAACTATTATCAGATTACTAACATCTCATTTATCAACTTATCAGACACTCAAAAAACGCTGACCAGTCCAGATCTTTTGGAAAAACACGAACACTCCTCAAAAAAGTAGTAGTAATTCATTGTATAACTGAAACCCAAGCACAAAAATTTGTAAGTCTACAACTGTACCTCATGGTGTTTTACTAATAAAAATTTAAAAAAAAAAAGTAGTAGTAAATGAGGGTCATTAGTATAGCAAACTGGGAGCTTGTCTTACACAAGGCCAATTCAAGTGCACCCTATATGGTCACCCAAGCACCACAAGGAGTGATCCCTGATTACAGAGCAAGGAGTAAGTTCAGAGCAGGGTGGGTGTGCCCCTCCCCGCTTTAAGAAAAGACATCTGGGGGCCAGGAGTAACGCCTGAGCAACACTAGGCGTGACCCCACCAAAAAAAAAAAATCAATCAATAACTAAACAGGAGTAAGACCTAAGCACTGCTGAATGTGGCAAAAAAAAAAAAAAAAAGACATCGGTACTCTTATTTTATTTGCAGCAGTGTTCAAAATAGGCAAAATCTGGAAACAACCCAAGTCTCAAAAAACGGACAACTGGGTCCATATATACAATGGAATACCTCTTGGCTATAGGGAAAGATGAAATCACGCGAGTTGCTGCTACATGGATCTGAAGAGTATCAAGCTGAGAGAAGTTACTCAAGAAGGCAAACGACCAAGAAGTATAATCTTTCTCATATACATTACATAAAAAAACGTAGTAAGGGAGTAACAAATGCCCAGTAGCTCAAGAAACTGAAAACTGGCCTCTAGTAGGAAGTGCACCACAGGGGGAGTGAGGAGGGGGACTCTGCAGAGGGAAGCAGACACTGGTGGAGGACACGGTCCCGAATGTTTTACAAAGGAACCCTACAGGATGGTGAACCAGCACCCAAAATAAAACAAAATAAAATTAGAGTGAAATGATGCTCTCACGAAGTGACTCAGAGGTGACTGCCCCTGTAAGCACCACTCCGAGGTTAACAATAGTTTGATATTATTTATTCTAATAGTGGTCAAAAACAAAACGAAAATAAAGAATCTACTATCTTAACCATTTTGAAGTATAGAGTTAAAAAACGTTGACTATACTCACAACATCGCATGACAGATACTTACAGCATTGGTTTTCTCCCTCTCCCCTTCCCTGATGTTTGTATCTACAGTTTTGACTTGGTTCGGTTTTCCACACTCGGCTGTGCTCGGAGCTTATTCCCGGCCCTGCACTCAGGGATCACTCCTGGAGTGGTTCAGGGGACCATATGGGTTGCCAGAGATCAAACCAGGGTCAGCTGCATGCAAGGCAAGTGCCTTTCCCACTGGACTCTCTCTCTGGTCCCTTCTATCTACAGTTTTCTCATGTCACAAACAAACTCCAGTCTCCCTAATCATCATCTTCCCATTTTCTCCACTTTCACCTCCTTCATAACGCCAGCTCTTGGCAACCATCTCTATTTCTGATCTCTCAAATCCTAACTACTTCAAACACCTCATGTAAAAAAGAAGGGTATATTATTTTATCTTTTTGTAACTGGCATATTTCATTTAGTGTAAAGTTCTCAAGGTTCTCAATGTTGCAGCACGTGACAAGATCTCCCTCCTCCTCCTATCTCCCTTACCTAATCATCTGTCAAAGGAGAAATAGCTGGGATGCTTCCACCTTTTGGTGGAAAGTAAGACAATGTACTTGAGTGTACAAGTATCTCTCCCCAGTATCTTATATTTACTTGATATTTTTAAGCGGATTTTCTATGTACAGTTTTGACTTACATAGAAAAGAAACATGGTTTGCATGAAAAGAAACATGGTCTGGCCTCCTTGGGATAAATGATCACAGAGACACCTAGGCACATCAGCTCAGTTCAGTAGCACAGCCAGCACACCTGCCACCTTAAAACAGTCTAAAATATGCCCACTCCTCCCTTGAGCTTCTTCCTGCATATTAACAGTGCTCGAAAATATTAAGGTGAAGTAAAGTAACACTGTCCTCCGCTCGCTGTTCACTGATGTGCTCGAGCGGACACCAGTAACATCTCCAGTGTGAGACTCATTACTGTGTTTGTCATATCGAATATGTCACAGGGAGCTTGCCAGGCTTTGTCGTGAGGGTGAGATACTCTCGGTAGCTTGCCAGGCTCTCTGAGAGGGATGGAGGAATCAAACTTGGGTTGGCCAGGCAGGCCAAGCACAAGGCAAATGCCCTACCCACTATGCTATAATTTTTAGTTTGAAAAATGAAGCATCTCCTTAGGCTTAAGGACGAAAATATTACAAGTCAGAAACAGAAACATAAAGATGATGAGCTAATTTTTAATATCAAAGATCTAGAGAAATTTTTTTAAGTCTTACCTCAAAAATTTACTGTTCCCTTCTCCATCATCATCAAAATCCAACCTGGAGAAAGCCAACAAGAGATCCTGTAAGTCTAAGTGATGACAAATAAGCTGTATGTAATGAGAATTACGAAACTGTAATAAAAATTAAGAAAATGTGATGGGGACTGGGAAACTGAAAATTTAGTTATGACTTATCACATAACTTATCATGCTTCCCTAAATTAAACAAGAGAAGGGAGGGAGAAGCATTCCTTTTATGACCCCAATTAATGAAGTTAAGAGCCCACCAGCTCACCAGACTGATGGGTGCACATGGGGCCCGACAGATTTATGGGAGCACATGAGAGATGGCACCTGAAGGCCGCACCAAAAATGGGAAAGAGACTGACACTATTTTCCTTTTGAGCACCTGAAGGTCATACCATGTGGGAACGACGCATTGATTTTCTTTTACTTGTTACCTCTGTATCCTCTGTTTCACTGATAAGAATGTACTTAGGTTGTAGACCACCTTTAGAGGATAAGAGGGAGACCCTCTCAACAAAAAGGGCTCTTTCTCTTCTGACTTGGGGTCCTCAGCGCTAAGCTTCTAATAAACTCACTATCCTATCTTGAGCTGTCTCTCTGTTCATTCGAAGCTCGAGCCAGCACAACACTAAGAAATTAAGACTCTCAGCTTACACGATGGCCTCTTAGTATAAGGTAAAAAGGTAAAGGTAAAGGCCCTCCCGTTGATCGTCGATTTGCTCGAGCGGGCCCAGTAACGTCTCCATTGGAGACTTTGTTGTTACTGTGTCTGGCATATCGAACTGTATTATAAATCAAAATACCCAAAATTAGAGAGTAAGAAGGAATGTACTTGCCACAGAGCAGGGGATGAGGGTTGCAGGGGTGGGGGAATAGGGTGAGGGTGGCAGGAGGGACACTAAGAACAATGGTGGTGGAAAAGGTGCGCTGGTGGAGGGATGGGTTCTCGATCACTGTATGACTGAAACGTAATCATGAAAGTTTGTAACTGTATCTCACAATGATCCAATTTAAAAAAAAAAAAGAATCTCAGCTCATAAGCCAACTGAATTACACCTCAGCCTATTGTGTCAAACTGGATAGCTATTATACCTTTTATGTTATAGAACAAAATAACACAAGGAGCAAAAAATTCATCACAAAAGTCAAAGAAGAAATAGTATGAAGAATTCATGTTTCTCATTCTTTTGAACTATTCTTAATTATGCTAGTTGTTATCAGTTTTCTAAAAAATTCTTTCAAAAATTACATTAAAGGGGCCAGAGTGGAAATGCAGCAAGAAGGGCATTTGCCTTGCCGATGGCTGACTCGGGTTCAATCCACAGCACCCCATATGGTCTCCTGAGCACCTTCCGGAGTAATTTACGAATGAGTACAGAGCCAGGAGTTACCCCTGAGCACCACTGGGTGTGGCTCAAAATCAAACAAAAAAGAAAGGACATTAAAGAGGGGAGTGATGTAAGGTCCCAGAGAGATAATACAGCAGGTAAAGTGCATGCTTTGCATGCAGTCAACCTGAGTTTGATCCATAGTGCACGATATGATCCCCCAAGCCCACCAGGAGTGACCCCTGAGTGCAGAGCCAGGAGCACTGCCAGGTGTGGCCCAAAAAACAACCAAGCAAAAAAATCTAAATGTCCCAAAATGGAATGAAGGGGTTGGAGAATAGTACAGCCGAAGGGTGCTTGCCTTGAACACAGCTGACCCTGGTTTAATTCCCTGCTACCACCTTACTTACCAGAGTAAGCCCTGTGAGTCACTGAGTACGATGCCCCCTCGTTCCCGCCAAAAATGTTTACTGAAGCTGGAGAAATAGCACAGCAGATAAGGCAATTGCCTTGCACACAAGTGACCTAGGTTCAATCCCAGGCACAGCATGTGGTCCCCCCAAGCACTGCCAGAAATAATTCCAGAGTGCAGATTGAGTGTGACCTCAAAAGAAAACAACAACAAAATATAAAACAAAACAAAAAATTTGTATGAATCAAAAAGGAATTAAGTACATTCTTTACCCAGCTATTAAAAAGTATGCCCATATAGAATATACAAAAATGTAAAAATTTTCATATACAATTAGGTTATAAAGTCATGTTTTGTAGAATTTTAATTACAGCTACTGAAACTCTACATATAAAATAAAAAGTAAATTGTACTAAAAAACTAATGGACTTTAACTTTGAATAACAGAACTATTATTCTAACTTTCTATCTTTCCATGTGTTCTCTATAAAAGAAATTTTATTACTTCTTTTAATAATCTTTCTGATTATCAACAATACATACCTCTTTATAAATTCTGAAAGTAATCAAAAACAAAAGAAAAAAATCATAATCCTACCACCCAGAGAAATCTGGTAAGCACAATTTTTTGCTATGTATATTTTTAATTTCGATAGTATGGTATACAATATATACTTTAACTTATCTTAATATATTATGAACATTTTTCTGTGTAAATATATTTGTTACTTAATAGCAGTCTTCTATTTTTAATGTGCTATAATTTATATGACCAAGCCCTAATTTTTTTTATGTTTTGGGGCTACACGTGGTAATGCTCAAGGATCATTCCTGGATCCTTGAGGGACCATATATGGAATCGTGAATCAAACTGGGATGACTACGCACAAGGCAAACGCCTTAACCCCAATTCTATCTGTCCAACCCAAGTCCTAACTTTAACATTTATAATGCTTCTAGTTATTTGCTCTGATGTATAAACTGTAACATTATCATTTGAGACAGTAGACTCTAAAGTTAAATTTCCAAGATACATTATCCTAGATCAGAAGTTCTCAAACGTATTTGCCCTAATTCTCCTTTTCAGAAAAAATTAATCAAAGTGTCTCTCCCAATCCGAAAATCTACCTTCTTTAAGCAAATACACAGAAAGTCTGTTTCTGCAATCTTTCTTCAATTGCATCTACTGCTACCCTGACCCCTGGATGGTCCCAGCATCCCAAGTGTGAGTGGAGGGATGGTACTTCCCCACTTTGGGAAACCCCATCCTTAATCTTCCACTTAACTACCTTCAGAACCCTTGTTAAGTTACTTATTATTTACTCTATGACTCAAAGGACAAGTCTGAATTTTTAAATATCTTAGAAACACAGCAAGTACCTTTCTGTAGGTGTGCTGGGAATGGAACCCCGACATTATGTATGCACAGCACACACTCTACCACTGGGCAATATCCCTAATCCAAGAGAGAACGAGTCTTTTTTATATGTTAGTACATCCCCGCTTTAATAGGGATCGCTCCTGCATTATGATTGGTGGGAAGAAACTCAAAGGCTAGATGGAATATTAGCTAAATAATGCCTCCTAAGTGAGGCCTGACGGACTCTCCCAACAATTCTCAGCCAATCAGAATGGCAGTAAATGCAAGGGCCCGAGCATGCGGTTCTGTTCAGGCCCTAAAGTGTTGGGAGTTACGCAGGCCAAGCAGGCAGAGGGGGCTTGGGGGAGCCTCCAGGGACACACCCAGTGCTCAAGGGGGGCGGGGGCAGGCGCTCCAGAATTGCATGAGAGATGCTCAAGGGATCATATGCATGCAGGCATATGCTTTAATTCATATGCTATTTCTCCAGCCCCAGCTCAGGAACAGAAAGAAGAAAGGAAGAGAAAGAAGGAAGATTCAATGCCAAAATGGGTACCTATTCTTCCAGTCCTATCTAAAACAATTTCCGGAGGCTGAACAGATTTGATAGGAGATAAACCACTTGGGCCAACCTGGGTTAGATCCCCAGCACCTCATATGGTTCCCAGATCTGCAAAGAATGATCCCTGAGTTCAAAACCAGGAGTAAGCCCTGAGCACAGCTGGCTGTGGTCCAAAAAACCAAGCAACAAAAAAAAACATAAATTAATTCCCTTTCTGAAACCCGTTCACTATCTTTACCATTCAATTTGTGGCATTTTCATACACTGTTAACACATGAGCTCTATATATGTTTCTCTTCATAAATTAGTATCCTGTTGTTCTATTTATGTGTGCAATGATTGTCACTGTCAGATCATAACTCAAAAGACTGTGCCTTATTTTATCTTTGTATCCTACAAACAATCAGCACAATGTCTCATCACACTAAAAATTTAAGGAGTCTACAAAAAAGACTTAAGAACGCAGACACAGGAGCTGGAGCGACAGCACAGCAGGTAGGGCGCTTGCCTTGCACATCGACCTGGGGCCAATTCCCAGCATCCCATATGGTCCCCTGAGCACCGCCAAGAGTAATTCCTGAGTGCAGAACCAGGAGTAACCCTGGTGCATCACCAGATGTGACCCAAAAAGCAGGGGGAAAAAAAAAGAACACAAACACAACACTTAGAGCAACAGTGAAATTTTAAGCAGTCACAGTCCCTTACCTCACAGAGATTTTTTTGGTTTAAAAATTGCTTAGAAGGCCAGGGAGATAGCTCAAAGGGGTACAGTGCAAGCCTTGCATGCACAAGGCCCCAAATTCAATCCCTGTCACCAATGCAAGCACCCCTGCGGTGGTCCTGGTAGCCTACACCGCCTGCCAGTCCAGGGCAGCAATGCAAAGGGAGGCCACACACCTGTCAGGTTCCATAACCCAGCACCAGGTATACTGGGATTAGCCCCTGGGCTCCGGGACACAGCTGGGAAGCCCCACCAGCACCACCCACCACCACCAAAAAGCTCAAAAAAAAGTTGTATATCACTCTTTAAACACATAGATCAAAAATCAATTTTCAAATTCTAAATGACTAGCTGATTCCAAACTTAAAAAGGTGACGTTCTAAGATAAATTTAGATTGTAGAACTGTGCTGACTGGGAAACAAAAGACTGGAAATAGAGAGCTTGTCTGACATTAGTTGACCATTACGTGTTGAATGTTAAATAAAATTATTCTATGGCTCTGTGAAAAGGCTGGAGAGACACTTTAGTGGACACATGTCTTAAGTGAGACTGACCCTGGTTAATTCCCAGTACCAGAGCACCACCAGGAATAGGTCCTGAGAAACAGAGTATAACCCAAACTCCACCACATCCCCCAAAAGGTAAGTTTAAATTATTAAAAAACAAACAAAAAATATCAATTCTGTATCTCTGTATCACTGTATCACTGTCATCCTGGTGTTCATCAATTTGCTCAAGCGGCAACATCTCCTTTGTGAGACTTCTTGTTACTGTGTGTGGCATATTGAATACATCACGGAGAGCTTACCAGGCTTTGCTGTGCGGGTAGCTTGACGGGCTCTCCGAGAGGGGCGGAGGAATTGAACCTGGCTTGGCCACGCCGGTCACGCGCAAGGCAAACACCCCACCACTGTGCTATCGCTCCAGCCCATATATCTATTAATTTTGCTTCTATGACTTTGTTGCCTACTGTCAAATATGGTGTGGTAATTATGGAAAATGGGTAAGAAGTGTCTTATGATGTGTTGTTTGGCTACAAAGAGGCCACGCAGTCCGGAAAGCAGCCTGGAGTATGGCAGTGGTTGGGTAGTGGAGGTCGGCTGCCAGGGCTGGATCCCTTGGGGCATGGAGGGCTCTCACCCGCCCCACTCAAGGGTGCCCACAGTGAAAACAGCCTGGCCCCGGAGTCCGCGCAGAGTCTGCTTCTCCCCCTGACTCCTTGGTAGTCTGCTAGTGGGAGACCCTCGACTCCGATCCTTCGCATTCTCCTGTCCCAGAACCCAGGACAATTCTATATAAGGAAAAAAATCAGTTTTATATAAGAAATAAATATCAATTCTATATAAGGAAAAAAATTTCAATACCTAAAGAAAGTTACAAAAGAGCAGTATAATTGTATAACCAGTTGAATGAAGGGAAAGGTTAGAAAGTGCAAAGAGGGTTGAGCAACTCATTCAATCAGATTGATTTATAGAAGACATTCATGACACACATTAATCATATTCACCCTGGTCGACGTTTAATAGCTCTCTGGACAACGGCTCCTCCACCTTGAATCCCAGCCCCAGGGTTCCCAGAGACAATGGCTGGACCCAGGGATGGAACGTCTGGTGTCAATTCTGTAAGACAAAAATGAAACAGACATTTTAAAAGTATGGTCCTTAGGAATTAGTGGGCCCAGCACATCTCCAGAACCCAGCTTGTGGCTAAGGTGGTGGCCCAGGGGCTTCACCATTTTCAGCGAATCTCCTAGCTGGCATCTCCAGACCCTTTCCGGAATGGAGAGATTCTCCTGTTTCTGGCTTGGCAGATCACGGCAGCCTCCACACCAGGCCGCTGTTATACTGAAAGGTCCAGCACCAAGTCTCCTGAACCGCATGAGCCGCTTCACTTGTATCGCTTGTTATCCCGTTGCTCATCAATTTGCTCGAGCGGTCGCCAGTAACATTTCCATTCGTCCCTGTCACGTGCAATACTCATCAAGTTTCATTCTGCTCAGTTATACTTCCCATAGCTAGGTGAAGACAGGCAGGGAAGGAAAGGAGCAGCTCTCCTGCCCCACAGCCTAATCCCTCAAGAGACTCCCAGGGAGGCTAGCTACAAAGACGCACCGTAACACTGCGGGAGCACAGCAAAGCCAGCGGGGAAGGCACTCAGAAGCCCACCAAGTTCAGTGAACAAAAACATAACAGAAGACTCGACCACCCGTTTCCCCCAGTCCCCGGCGACCCGGGCGTCACTGCCATAAGCCACCTCCTGCCAGCGCCAGACAATCTCGTCATTGGCCGCCCTCCAGATCACATGGCTGCATCTCCCAGAAGAGAGCATAAAATGAGGCCCCCATAGCCATGCCACCGGTCTCCGTACCAGGCTGTTTTCACTCAGGGCACCCCAGAGGGGGGCGGGTGAGAGCCCTCCCTGCCCCAAGGGAACCAGCTCCAGCAGTCGACCTCCACAACCCAACTGCCGCCATGCTCCAAGGCCACTCCCCGCATGCTCATATGTTCACTCATATATGAGGGCCAAGCCTCATATATGAGTGAACATATTCCTTGACATATCATAAGACACTCCCTACCCATTCTCCATAATTACCACACCATATTTGATGGGGTTCAGACAGTAGGCAACAAATCATATAAATCAATATATATATATATGCATCTATACATATTTTCAGATATGTATACCAACGCTCACATCACACAAACTTTAACAACATGTTAGTGATATCCTATAGAATGTCTTAATGGCTCCTGCCAAAACAGAGCAATCTTCACTCTGTTTCTTATACGAACACTTTTTGGTAAGCATGTTCAGCAGTTCTTCGTAACAGACAATACAAAATATATTCTTTTGGTTGCGTTTTGGGACAGGGCTTGGGGCTTGGGATGGAAACATCCCAAATTTGGTGGTGGGAAGGTGTAACGGTGGTGGGATTGGTGTTTGAATACTAAATGTAATCCAATATTGTACACTAACTTATAAAATTTTAAAAAAATAATAAAAATAAATGAACAAAATAAAAGGCTCAACCAGTTCCATAAATTGACAATGACTTTAGGAACACCATAGTGAGGATGTTTAATGAGCTCAAGGAAAGAATGGCATAGGTAGTCAGGAAAGCACCAGAAAGAATGAGAGTGAAAATAAGAACTACGACTGGAAATGACAGAAATGAAGCATATGCTAAGTAATATTAAAAACAATAGAAACAGCCCCACCCCCACAGTGGGTTCCAGCAGCCTCCACACCTGACCTGCATAATGTTGAGGGCTCCTTCCTACCCTTCTGCCTGCTGCTCAGGTGAGGTTTGCCTCTGGATGTTATCACTGGGCCTCTCCCAAAACGGAACCTTATCTCCATCCGGAGAAAGAGCCTGCTCAACAAAACATACATGCCCAGTTATTCTTCCTGTCATTCTGAGAGGACAGGCAGAGAAGACAGAGAGCAACCTCCAGCAACTCCCTCACCATTTTCCTACGGGGTTAGCTACAAAAACTCAGCCCTCGCACAAGAACACTAGAAAACCCATGGGGAAGCACACAGAAACCCACCAAGCTCAGAGTGAAAACAATTATTACCAAAGACATTCACAACTCCAGTGAACCTCAGACAGGGTCCTTAAGTGACACTATGACGAGGATGTCTAATGAGCTCAAAGAAATAATGGCACAGGTGACAACCATAAGCAAAGCACAAAAAAGTACGAGTCAAAACGAAAAGAGCTTCTGCAGTCAGGAATCACAGAAACATGGTAGGTGACATAAACGCAACAGAAGCTCTGAACACCAGAGTAACAGAAGCTGAGCAAAAGATTAAGGAGCTCCAAGATTTCAGATTTGAAGCTCCGAGGAGGAAACCTGTAAGAAATAGCAGAAAGTGGAAAATAGTCTGGAAACTAGTGAAAGAGCGTATTAGAGAACTATGGGATGAGTTCAAGAGGACCAATCACCCGGGTCCCCGAGGAACAGGAAGGCAAATGTGAAGAAACAATAATTAAAGAAATAAAAAGAACTTCCCAGAGTTTAGGATTACAGGTACCAGGATCCAAGAAATACAAAGGGTCCCAGTGAAAATACACCCAGTTAGGAAAACATCCAGACACATTAAACTTAAACAAAAATCTAAAGACAGAATATTGAAAGCACAAGACCAGAAATGGAACTTATACACAAAGGAAAGCCCATAAAATTCAAAGCGGATCTATCAAATAAGACTCTACAAGACAGAAGAATAAGGAAAGATATAGCACAAAAACTCACCAAGAATGCTCTATCCAACTAGATTATTCAGATTTGAAGAAACTATACAGAGCTTCATGCATAGGGAATAGCACAGAAAATTCATAGCCTTGAACCAGTTTCACAAGAAGCATTTAAAAAGCTCTTTTAGGGGCTGGAGAGATAGCACAGCAGGTAGGGCATTTGTCTTGCACGCAGCCGACCCGGGTTCAACTCCCAGCATCCCATATGGTCCTCTGAGCACCACCAGGAGTAATTCCTGAGTGCAGAGCCAGGAGTAAACGCTGTGCATCGCCGGGTGTGACCCAAAAAGCAAAAATAATAATAATAATAATAATTAAAAAAAAATAAAAAGCTCCTTTAAAGGACAAGAGAAACTTTCCACCACATGGAATTGAGTGTGGCACTCACTAATAGTGCATATGGTTGTCTTTTACTCGATTAAGGAAAGTTAAAAACACATAGCAATTAATCATCACAAATTGACTTATTGATTTATTTTATAATAATTCCATTTGCCATTCTTTTAAGTTTTTTTGACCAAGCACTGTAGCACTGTCCTCCTGTTGTTCATCAATTTGCTTGAGTGGACACCAGTAATGTCTCACAACTGTGAGACTTGTTTCTGTTTTTGGCATATTTGCCATGCGGGCGAGATACTCTCGGTAGCTTGTTGGGCTCTCCAAGAGGGGCGGAGAAATCGAACCCAGGTCAACTGAATACAAGGCAAATGCCCTACCCACTGTGCTATAGCTCCAGCCCAATATGAAATAAATTTGTTATATGCCTGCCAAGGGGGCAAAAAAAAAGTAAAGAAACCTCATTTATAACAAAGAAGGTATTTCGATTACCACAATAAGATTCAAGTACAAAATAAAATTTAATGCAATATGTTTCAGATCCCCCCACCTTCCAGTATGTAGGTGTTACACCCACCAACTGCCCCCAGTGCCGTGTAATCCCATCAACGGCCAAGATCCAGAGACTATAAAACCCTGCTCCTGGAAGCCCGTGGCCGCGGCCGTGCGACATCTCATTATCTGGGTCTTACTCTGGAGAACCTGGCAGGCCACCAAAAATATCCTGTGCACACGGCAGAGTCCGGCAAACTCCCCGTGGTGTATTCAATATGCCAAAAACCAGTAACAATGATCGGTCTCATTCTCCTGACCCTGAAAGAGCCTCGAATGTGGTACTTTTAAAATCTCAGGGCTAGGACGAAGGAGACGTTACTGGGGCCTGCTCAAAGCAATCGATGACCAACAGGATGACTGTGATACAGTGATATTTTAGATGCCAAAGTTGAAACTTTAGTATGTCAATGAAAATAGGCATATATTATATTGTATTATATGACTTGAATTTCCTTATTTGCACAGGTTAAAATCATAAAGCAACCATTAAAAATTCATTTTTGTTGCTTTATCTTCTGATAATTTCATTTGCCACTTCTCTAAGTTTTGTTGAAGCAAGCAATATAAAATGAATTTGTTATAAACCTGCCAAGGGGGCAGAGGCTGTGGGATGGCAGTGAGCCTGGGGACACTGATGGTGGGATTGGTGTTGCAACATTGTATGCCTTAAACAATTCTAGTCTGAACAGCTTTGTAAATCATGGTGTCTTAAAAATAAATTCAAAAGAAACTCAAAAGAAAATTTAAGCCATATTATAATCACAGCTGAGAAAAGATAGAGGAGCTCCAAGACAAGATGGAGGAAACCTCTAGGAAACAACAGAAAATTAAAAAAAAAAAAGACGCCTGGGGGAAAAAATCAACAAAACACAAAAAACTATGGGATAACTTCAAGAGGAACAATATAAGATTGATCAGGGTGCGGCAGAACAACTCTAGTACAGCAGGCAGGATGCTAACCTTGCAAGTAGCTGACTTGGTTTGGTCTCTGACTCAGTGTTCAGGGGTGGTTTCTGGCAGTGCTGCTGGGGGAACCATATTCAGGGCCGGGGATTCAAACAAGGACTGTATGCAAGACAAGTATTTTACCACTGGAACATCTGTCTTGTCCACAAACCATGTAACTTTTAGGAAAAAAACTGAGAATTTATAGGATATGGGGAAGGCAAAGAATTCTTAGACTTAGAACATGGAAGAAACAAAATGATCCAGGAACTGAACTTGAATAAAATTAAAATATGGCCAGGCCTGTGGCTCAGGTTGTACAGAGCACAGGTCCTGGATTATTCCCCTGCAGTGATACCTCCAGCAATGGGAGGCACTATGAGCCCCATCACCACAACAAATAACAAAAGAAAAACTTTCTGTGGAAAACCCTATCAAAGGATTAAAAGACAAGGCCATGAGAAAGAATACTGCCACAGACAACAAATGACTCACACTTAGAATTTTTGGAGGGTG